TATTGGACACCCTGTATATATTCTGCAATTAGATTTTAACTCCATCATTTTGTTTGGTTGTGATAAGACATTTAAAACAGTAATAACATTTTTCAAATTTAAAAGTCCTCAAGCTTAGCCAATCAAAATCAAGTATTAAGCAATGCTGTTAATTCAACTAACTAATGCTGACTTTCTGTGTTAAAGTGTGTATGTAACCTGGGAGTTGCTAGCAACTTTAAAACCGGCCGTTAAATGCATTAACGTACCAGGGTATATATGAAAATATTGGGCGAGACTTTGCATTAAATTAATGTCACTCCAAATTGAAACTTCTGATCGGGTTTGGAGGCGAAGTCTCGCGAGTTGCCCGGATATAAACGGGAAGAAGCTGGAATTCACATGCTCTTTCTTGAAGAATCCCGTTTTTTCTCGTTTACCAATAAGATTATTGTATCCATCTGAATCTTTAAATTTTTATATACGTTCCCGCTAAGGGCAAACAATGTGATTTGTACGAGTAGTTATGCGTAATTTAACGATTCAAGTCCAGGGCTCAAAGAATTGTATTGGTTTAAATCATGTATATATCTCTTGAATCAAGACCTTGAATGAAGGCGGTATCAAATTCAAAAAAATGTGAACTAGGAATTCGTTTTACTCTCATAAAAAGAGTCACGAATATCAAAAAGGTTTTTTCAGCACAGTAAAGTTTCATCAGTTTTATTAGTTCAAAAAGTCCCGAGGAGGATTGCTAAGTGTCGCATAAATTATTTGAAATTGATTTGATATTTCATAATTGGTGAATACAATTGTATTAAAATCTACAATCTACTCTAGTGGATTTTAAACTGAAATCTTTTAACATTCCACTGTCTGTTAGATGATTTTTATTCAGGGGTTTGCCCATTTGTCCATTCTTGAGTGGTAATATGGTTGAACCTAGTTTATAAGCTGACATAATAAGAGGGCCAAGTGACAATACGCTGTATCCTCTCATTCTTCATTCTTTTCAAATCGTGGTACTTTGGCGCTCACAAATGTAACCAAATAGGTAGTCTGAACAACCGATATCATACCAATAGAAATTGCTCTGATAGTTCATCGCAACACATTCTTCATTAATATCATTGTTTGGTTCCCCTGCGTTCCAATTAAAGAAGGTGGCCTGTACCAACGATCCTGTCCAAATGAATTGGTTCTCCTCAGCTCTGTCATTTAGGCCAATGTGGAATTTTTTATCTGTGTTAATAATAAGAAACATAAGATCACGATCTGGTGTGGGTATAATCATTCACAATGAATACTAGTTCGACCATGGTAGAGCCCATGGTTCTACATGCTAAATGGTTCCCTAAAAAGATTCCTTATATTTAAACAATGGCAAAGCAGAAATAGTACCCTAAATATTGTCTGGATTTAAGTTCTCAACAAAATAGCCAAATCTTACCACGAAGCTCGTCATTACTCAGCAAGTAGTTGGCCAAGGCTGTTTGCTCGTCTTCAGTTTCTATGGCAACCAGGATTGACCCATCCTCGATGCATTTGTTTTCTGCGTCCGTCCAACTTAAAGGTCCTTGGTTGAAACAATAGGTGGAGCCATTGTAGAAGAATTTGGAACCATTTTCACATCCTAAAATAACAAGAAAATCAAGTGAAAATGACACTAGAAAAATACGAAGGCCATAATGCTATTTTGACAAAACTGATCCACTTTTTATGGAAATGCCACAGAGAAAGACAATGAACAAACTACATTTTACTGCTTGTTTTCTGTTGGCTAGGTAATATGTTAATGACGTCACAAATTAAAATATAATAAACACTGTGATGTGTGACGTTTAGCTTTCTTGTCTGTTTAGTTGATAGGGCAATAAGTAACTGATGTCATAGCTTATGTTATATTACGTCATATCTTCATCACAAACACAACATATGACGTCGTGATCGTTGCTTTGATGATTTGCCATATAAGGTAATAATGGCGGACTTTTGATCACGTGAATGGTCGACAGTCGGTCCATAGAACGAATGGCTCCGCCCACTTCGTGGGGGGGGGCTTCGTAAAAAGAAGATCTTATCATTTCCGATCATGCGATTGTTAATTCATATCATTATGACGTCGAACGTATTTAGCTGAAAACATTAACAATGAATGGCATTTCACTATTATTCGAAGACGTGTTTTTTGCATTTTAAAGGCAGAATCGGATACAACACAGAAGCCTCTCAACAGAAATGAAAACTCAATTATATTCTCATATTCTAGATATCACGAATTAAGCTCGATCCTTACATAAAAGTAAAAAGAAATGCAATAAATGACTTTGTGGATTTCTACTTTCAATAAACGAAGCATCTTTTCTCTTTGAACAAATATTCGGACCTCCCAAAAATGAAACATTTGATATTATATATTATTTAGCCTAGGAGATAATATATTTGAGATGGTAAATACATGTGAACAAAATAAAACGTATATTATTAATATGATAACAAAAATAATTAATAGAAAATATTAACATTTATATTATTCGTGATTACACAAATTGATTCATCTTTGAAATTGAATGAATATACATGTAGCCTATCATATTTCTAAGTAAAACTCACGGTTTTGGATCATAACGTAATGCAGATGGTCCGGGCTATCTTCTGTTTGACCCGTACCCCAACCAAATAAATCACAATTCCATCTTCTTTCTCCTAGCTTAGGAGCATAAATTATTTGAAATTGATTTGATATTTCATAATTGGTTAATACAATTGTATTAAAATCTACAATCTACTTTGGTGGATTTTGATCAATGTACAATATATAACTTACAAAGAGACAAAGAGAAAGATCAGCTTTTGGTAAAGAAAGGCTCAGATTCGACATAGTGTTCGTTCGTGAAATCGTCCATGGTTTCACTTATAATGAATGTATCGGATGGTAAACTGAAATCTTTTAACATTTCACTGTCTGTTAGATGGTTTTTATTCAGGGTTTTGCCCATTTGTCCATTCCTGAGTGGTAATATGGTTGAACCTAGTTTATAAGCTGACATAATAAGAGGGCCAAGTGGCAATACGCTGTATCCTCTCATTCTTCATTCTTTTCAAATCCGAGTGGTACTTTGGCGCTCACAAATATAACCAAATAGGTAGTCTGAACAACCGATATCATACCAATAGAAATTGGTCTGATAGTTCATCGCAACACATTCTTCATTAATATCATTGTTTGGTTCCCCTGCGTTCCAATTAAAGAAGGTGGCCTGTACCAACGATCCTGTCCAAATGAATTGGTTCTCCTCAGCTCTGTCATTTAGGCCAATGTGGAATTTTTTATCTGTGTTAATAATAAGAAACATAAGATCACGATCTGGTGTGGGTATAATCATTCACAATGAATACTAGTTCGACCATGGTAGAGCCCATGGTTCTACATGCTAAATGGTTCCCTAAAAAGATTCCTTATATTTAAACAATGGCAAAGCAGAAATAGTACCCTAAATATTGTCTGGATTTAAGTTCTCAACAAAATAGCCAAATCTTACCACGAAGCTCGTCATTACTCAGCAAGTAGTTGGCCAAGGCTGTTTGCTCCTCTTCAGTTTCTATGGCAACCAGGATTGACCCATCCTCGATGCATTTGTTTTCTGCGTCCGTCCAACTTAAAGGTCCTTGGTTGAAACAATAGGTGGAGCCATTGTAGAAGAATTTGGAACCATTTTCACATCCTAAAATAACAAGAAAATCAAGTGAAAATGACACTAGAAAAATACGAAGGCCATAATGCTATTTTGACAAAACTGATCCACTTTTTATGGAAATGCCACAGAGAAAAACAATGAACAAACTACATTTTACTGCTTGTTTTCTGTTGGCTAGGTAATATGTTAATGACGTCACAAATTAAAATATAATAAACACTGTGATGTGTGACGTTTAGCTTTCTTGTCTGTTTAGTTGATAGGGCAATAAGTAACTGATGTCATAGCTTATGTTATATTACGTCATATCTTCATCACAAACACAACATATGACGTCGTGATCGTTGCTTTGATGATTTGCCATATAAGGTAATAATGGCGGACTTTTGGTCACGTGAATGGTCGACAGTCGGTCCATAGAACGAATGGCTCCGCCCACTTCGTGGGGGGGGCTTCGTAAAAAGAAGATCTTATCATTTCCGATCATGCGATGGTTAATTCATATCATTATGACGTCGAACGTATTTAGCTGAAAACATTAACAATGAATGGCATTTCACTATTATTCGAAGACGTGTTTTTTGCATTTTAGAGGCAGAATCGGATACAACACAGAAGCCTCTCAACAGAAATGAAAACTCAATTATATTCTCATATTCTAGATATCACGAATTAAGCTCGATCCTTACATAAAAGTAAAAAGAAATGCAATAAATGACTTTGTGGATTTCTACTTTCAATAAACGAAGCATCTTTTCTCTTTGAACAAATATTCGGACCTCCCAAAAATGAAACATTTGATATTATATATTATTTAGCCTAGGAGATAATATATTTGAGATGGTAAATACATGTGAACAAAATAAAACGTATATTATTAATATGATAACAAAAATAATTAATAGAAAATATTAACATTTATATTATTCGTGATTACACAAATTGATTCATCTTTGAAATTGAATGAATATACATGTAGCCTATCATATTTCTAAGTAAAACTCACGGTTTTGGATCATAACGTAATGCAGATGGTCCGGGCTATCTTCTGTTTGACCCGTACCCCAACCAAATAAATCACAATTCCATCTTCTTTCTCCTAGCTTAGGAGCATAAATTATTTGAAATTGATTTGATATTTCATAATTGGTTAATACAATTGTATTAAAATCTACAATCTACTTTGGTGGATTTTGATCAATGTACAATATATAACTTACAAAGAGACAAAGAGAAAGATCAGCTTTTGGTAAAGAAAGGCTCAGATTCGACATAGTGTTCGTTCGTGAAATCGTCCATGGTTTCACTTATAATGAATGTATCGGATGGTAAACTGAAATCTTTTAACATTTCACTGTCTGTTAGATGGTTTTTATTCAGGGTTTTGCCCATTTGTCCATTCCTGAGTGGTAATATGGTTGAACCTAGTTTATAAGCTGACATAATAAGAGGGCCAAGTGGCAATACGCTGTATCCTCTCATTCTTCATTCTTTTCAAATCCGAGTGGTACTTTGGCGCTCACAAATATAACCAAATAGGTAGTCTGAACAACCGATATCATACCAATAGAAATTGGTCTGATAGTTCATCGCAACACATTCTTCATTAATATCATTGTTTGGTTCCCCTGCGTTCCAATTAAAGAAGGTGGCCTGTACCAACAATCCAGTCCAAATGAATTGGTTCTCCTCAGCTCTGTCATTTAGGCCAATGTGGAATTTTTTATCTGTGTTAATAATAAGAAACATAAGATCACGATCTGGTGTGGGTATAATCATTCACAATGAATACTAGTTCGACCATGGTAGAGCCCATGGTTCTACATGCTAAATGGTTCCCTAAAAAGATTCCTTATATTTAAACAATGGCAAAGCAGAAATAGTACCCTAAATATTGTCTGGATTTAAGTTCTCAACAAAATAGCCAAATCTTACCACGAAGCTCGTCATTACTCAGCAAGTAGTTGGCCAAGGCTGTTTGCTCGTCTTCAGTTTCTATGGCAACCAGGATTGACCCATCCTCGATGCATTTGTTTTCTGCGTCCGTCCAACTTAAAGGTCCTTGGTTGAAACAATAGGTGGAGCCATTGTAGAAGAATTTGGAACCATTTTCACATCCTAAAATAACAAGAAAATCAAGTGAAAATGACACTAGAAAAATACGAAGGCCATAATGCTATTTTGACAAAACTGATCCACTTTTTATGGAAATGCCACAGAGAAAGACAATGAACAAACTACATTTTACTGCTTGTTTTCTGTTGGCTAGGTAATATGTTAATGACGTCACAAATTAAAATATAATAAACACTGTGATGTGTGACGTTTAGCTTTCTTGTCTGTTTAGTTGATAGGGCAATAAGTAACTGATGTCATAGCTTATGTTATATTACGTCATATCTTCATCACAAACACAACATATGACGTCGTGATCGTTGCTTTGATGATTTGCCATATAAGGTAATAATGGCGGACTTTTGGTCACGTGAATGGTCGACAGTCGGTCCATAGAACGAATGGCTCCGCCCACTTCGTGGGGGGGGGGCTTCGTAAAAAGAAGATCTTATCATTTCCGATCATGCGATTGTTAATTCATATCATTATGACGTCGAACGTATTTAGTTGAAAACATTAACAATTAATGGCATTTCACTATTATTCGAAGACGTGTTTTTTGCATTTTAAAGGCAGAATCGGATACAACACAGAAGCCTCTCAACAGAAATGAAAACTCAATTATATTCTCATATTCTAGATATCACGAATTAAGCTCGATCCTTACATAAAAGTAAAAAGAAATGCAATAAATGACTTTGTGGATTTCTACTTTCAATAAACGAAGCATCTTTTCTCTTTGAACAAATATTCGGACCTCCCAAAAATGAAACATTTGATATTATATATTATTTAGCCTAGGAGATAATATATTTGAGATGGTAAATACATGTGAACAAAATAAAACGTATATTATTAATATGATAACAAAAATAATTAATAGAAAATATTAACATTTATATTATTCGTGATTACACAAATTGATTCATCTTTGAAATTGAATGAATATACATGTAGCCTATCATATTTCTAAGTAAAACTCACGGTTTTGGATCATAACGTAATGCAGATGGTCCGGGCTATCTTCTGTTTGACCCGTACCCCAACCAAATAAATCACAATTCCATCTCCTGGCTCCTAGCTTCTCAACATTTGTTTGTCCACATTTTGGTGTTTTCAAACATTCGATGTTGCATTCTGTTGCAGATTGTGCTTCAATAGATTTCAAGTGTCCATATCCCAATAACAAGGTGTAGTCGGGTATGAACTTCTTATTGCTTTCTTTTTGAAACAATTGATGTCGACAAATATGTGAATTTAAACTTTCTATCATGAAAATACACGTTATCATACACGTAGCTACGAATAAACCTCGCATATTTCTCTTCAAAATCACCGACTTGATACTCTTTTATTAATCAATTTCGAATATTTGATTTCATCCAATAGCATACATATGGTTGACTCAACACATTTACTCTATTCATTTGATGCACTAACAGATCCATAACACTCAATTAAACCATTAATAATATATGATGTATTAAATTGTGACACTAAATATTGAACAAGTCCATAGAGAATTCTTTGATTGGGGAGCCTATTTAATCTATTAAAGATGATAATTATATAAAATGAACCAAAAATAAAAGGTGTGTTCAATTTTAGAGTTTAATTACGATTTATATTGCTTTATTAACACTAAATTATGCAAACACTAATGACTTATCCAAATGAAAACGACTCTATAACTAAAATGGAATTAAAAGAAAGCAAAAATGAAAACATCATTATTCAGCTGGAATAAAAGAATTTTATTTCATTATTATTTGGAAGTCGTCAAACAAATCTTTGAAATTCGACCAAATTGTCGTAAAATAGTGGATAATAGTGGATTTCCCGAACAACGTGCCCTATATATGTGCAAACTGCGTTCCTCTCCAGGTCTCTTTTGTACTTGTATCGTTTTGTATTTTCAGAAAAAGTCAGCACCACACCCTCTTCCTTTACTTCTTTTAATATAATTTATGAATTTTATTTGGAATCATTACAATAATATTTTGGGCCTTTTACAATGCACAATGACGTCATATCTCCGTAACTTTGCGGACTAAGATACGATTAGGATACGCAGTTTGGAGAAATGCAATTTGAAACTCCGCATCTTTCTCGTAACTTTTTAAATTTTACGGAAATCGTAACTCTACGGGTCCGTTACTTTACGGAGTTTGGAGAAATAGACCCCTGCTCGTTTGAAAATACATTTTACGCCCTCTATTCCAATTTTAAACCATTTCAAAATAATGAACCTCCCTCCCCTGCAGATATTAGGGTAAAGTAGTTTTCTTAAAGGACAACTGAAATAGCTTTTCTCAACTTGCAGCTACAAAAATGCGGTTTTCTCTATCGTAAGCCCACCGTAGAGTTCTTGCGATAGCCATTATAAAATAAATGTTAGATAACTGCTAACGGTCATAGATAATGAAACAAAACTAACTGATAAATCAAATTGGCCCCCACGTGATTAGTAACGTCATATACAAATTATAGCTTTGGTTTATTGGTTCCATAGTAATCACAACGTCACGGCAACCATAGGATTGTTGTGTAAACAAATAACAAAACATTTTGGCATTATGACGTCATGGTCTAATGGACCAAAACGGTCCACGTGGGGGCCAGTGAGAGATCACGTGGGGGCCAATAACGTCACAACCAATTCGAATATTGCTTATTAAGCAGCTATAACGATCGTTAGAGTGAAATAGTTTTCACACTACTGATTAGAAAACATGTCCAAATACATCTATCAAAAAATTATATTGATTCCTTTAGGTTAAAAATACCATTTCATATCTGCTTTAAGTCAATCGTGGTTTGAATTTCAAAGTTTTGTTATCAAGAAATCATTCTTTGCTGATTATTTCTGTTCCACTCGTTTTATGTCATCTCGATGATTTTATCATCAAGTCCTTCCTCGGAACTCAAAACTCCCTCACCTACTGTTTTTCTTAATAAATCTACGTTCATCGACAGGCTCGAGTGTCCTGATGATCCATCAAGGTATTTCATATGACTGAAAGAATACATTGGTTTAACAGTATGTGTCCTGATAGACCTACACAGTATTTTGTTGCCTTTTAGATGCACTATATTCTTTAAACAAATATATAATATATTAGTTATAACGGGCATGATAATGGGCAGTAGAATCAGGATTGTCCTTGCATATGTCATTTTGCTATTTTCTAAAAGATCCCTTTATTGGGCACATCGCCCAATAATTATTCCCCTTATTGGGCACATCTCTGGGCATTGGATTTCTCATATTCATGACGTCAATTTATGGTAAAAAGTCAAACTCACGATTTTAGCAGTTGTTCTATTTAATCCCTTCTAACTTTTTACCATATTTACGGATTTCTTTGAAATTTTCTCCATTTGGCCAAAGTATACATACATTATACCTCTGAATGTTTGGTATGATATTAACGAAAAATAAAACACATATGGTTGTTAAAGGACAATGCACCCTTTTTCTTTACAGAATATACATTATTCATAGTTAAATTGTGTATAATGGATCTATGTTTGTCAACCAACATTTCATTAGAGTGATGTATAAACGCAAAGTGGTTGTTAAGTGGAGCCGAATGTTGATAAAATATTAACAATTTGAACTGGGTAATTTTATCTATTTCTTGAGTGATAAGCATCAAATATATGGAGTAAATGTCTTTAGTCTACGCTGACATATGTCGTTGAATGGAATCAAACATTCAGGATTGATTCATAAGAAGAAACATGCAGGGTATGTTCGTAGTCACATGTATGATAACGTCTATTTTCATAACAGAAAGTTTAAATTCACCTGATTGTCGACACCAATTGTTTCAAAAAGAAAGCAATAAGAAGTTCATTCCCGGTTACATCTTTTATCTTGGATACAGCGGTCTTTTGGGATACGACGGTCTTTTGAAATCTTTTGAAGCAAACTCTCCAACAAAGTGCAACATCGAATGCTTAGGCACGCCTAATTGTGTACAAACAAATGTCGAGAAGCTAGGAGTCAGAAGGTGGAATTGTTATTTATTTGGATGGGGTACGGGTCAAACAGAAGATAGCCCGGACCACCATCATTACGTCATGATACATAACGGTGAGTTTTTTTCTTAGAAACATATTATACCTATTAAATTTAGAGATGCATCAATTCACGAATAATATAAATGATTATAGTAGACCGGACAGAATTGTGCAAGGGTCACTTCTTTAATAACTTTTTTTTAATTTTCAGTATCATCAAAAACCGATCATATATTTGAAAACTAGAGTAAAATTCTGACATACAAAAAATTATTTAAGAAACATCTCTTTATTTCTTGATATAAAAGGCATTCATAGCATGAGTGGCGCAAATTCATCATTCATCATTTTGCCTCATATTTGTTCAAAAATGGCAGCAGGTTTTGTGAAAATATGAATGTTCACTTGAAGGTTAATATTCTAAAAATGTCATAGGCCTATAGGGTCCTGCTGCCACCATTACAATCCTGATGTATTACAGCAACTGACCAATCATAAGGGCATTCTCCCTTCAAGGGTCATGAACTCAATTCTATTGAAATGGTCAGGGGTAATTATCAAGAGGATATGAAAAGGTGGCAGCCTAATGTGCGGGGTATTATGAGAGTAGGTCCCCAATATTTTCAAGAGGCCCAAACAGCCATCTCAAAGGCCCTTGAAAAGCTGAAAAACAATTCACATGCATTCTGATCGGATGCGCCAAGAGGCGTGCGACTGGGAAAGACGCACTAAAATATGGTAGCAGTATGACCCTATAGCTGCACAGGTTAAACAAATTAGGGCTGCTAATCCGCCAAGGGTAACAATGGAATCGCCAAAAAACTACCAGTATACTACACATACAATGTATGCACCTTTTTAAGTATACATCCACATCCCCCCTCCATAAGTTTGGCAACCTTAGCTCCCTCATTGAACTACTTGTTAAAGCCTCTTTATGTTTGAATTTTTATTTACATAACCTGCGAGGAAAATACTTAAAATATTGATGGAAATGTAACTTTACTTCATTTCAAATGCCTCCAAATTTCCCCATTTTTTCCTCAATTTCAGTAGGTCGAAAATTGATGATAAATTTGATGGATTTTTGAAAATCGTCATTCCCATGTAAACAAATGGGAAATGGTGGGTTCGGGGCGATCTGATTTCAGGATATCTATCCAGTAAAAGATTCACCAAAAAGTATTCTTATATAGAAAATTGAATTGTCTGACTTTTTTGTACGCTAAGTGTTCAGTTTACTTTATAAATACTAAGGTTACAGAGCTTCAAAGTCATTTTTTGAAAATCATTTTCGCATCCTGTATTATTTCAATGGGAGGAGTTTTTAAAAAAAGAATTTTGACTTTGAAAACCTATAACTTTTTAAAACCTGAAGAAACGTATCAATTTTTTATTACACAAAGTTAGCAAATTCAATTGACTACCTAACTTGTATTTTTTGCAATAACTCGGATGGATGAATATTCTGGCATATGACTTGCCGCAAACCTACCATTTCCCATAGGTTTAAATGGGAATGTCGATTTTCATCAGATTTATCATCAATTTTCGACCTATTGTAATTGAGGAAAAAATTGGGAACATTTGAAGGCATTGGAAATGAAGTCAAGTTACATCTCCATCAATATTATAAGTTTTTTCCTCGAAGGTTGAGTAAATAAAAATTCAAACATAAAGAGGCTTTAACATGTAGTTCAATGAGGGAGCTAAGGTTACCAAACTTATTGAGGGGAGAGTTTAAAACAAAATGTCTAAAATGCAGTCATTATCAAACCAGCACTCTACATAACTTCACAGGCCTATGACATTTCTTAAATATAAACTTTCAATTGAATGTTTAAATTCACGGACATGCTGTCAATTTTGAATACATGTGAGATACAAGTACATGTGAGACAAAATGATGAATTATATATTTGCGCCACTCATACTATGAATGCCTATAATATTAATAAATCAAGGGATGCTCCTTAAATAATTTTTCGAATGTCAGAATTTTACTCTTGTTTTCAAATATGTAATCAGTTTTTGATAATACTGAAAATTAAAAGTAATTAAAGAAAAGTGACCCCTGAACAATTCTGTCCAGGCTACTATTATTTATTATGCAATACATATGTTTATATTGTTTAAAGAACAAGATCAGAACCAGTACCAGTATCTGTATATAAGAAGAATTTCTTTCAAATAAACAAATCAGAGACGCAAATACTTGAAATGATAAATGTCTATTGTTATGTAGACTATTCCGGATATTTATTTTAATTAAAAATGTTTATGTGGAAAAAATTAGAGGCCCGACAAAAAATAAAAAAAAAGTGGACTATTTTATCTTACACTAGGCATTTTTATATTACAAATAGTCTGTGTGAACGTTTTGATATTTTTGGTAGAATCCAGTGCAACTCAAGTGCACTTCACCAGAAATTTAAAATAAGACGTTTTACCCGGTTACCCAGTGTAATAACATTGCTATCATTTACATTTACGTACCAATGCATTGTTTACAGTTACGTTTCAATGTATTGTTTACAATTACGTACCAATGCAATATTTACAATTACGTACCAATGCATTGTTTACAGTTTCGTACCAATGCATTGTTTACAATTACGTACCTATGCATTATTTACAATTACGTACCAATGCATTGTTTACAGTTACGTACCAATGCATTGTTTACAATTACGTACCAATGCATTGTTAAATATTACGTACCAATGTATTGTTTACAGTTACGTACCAATGCATTGTCTACAGTTACGTACCAATGCATTGTTTACAATTACGTACGAATGTATTGTTTACATTACGTACCAATGCATTGTTTACAATCACATACCGCTGCATTGTTTACAGTTACGTACCAATGTATTGTTTACAGTTACGTACCAATACATTATTTACAATTACGTACCAATGCATTGTTTACAGTTACATACCAATGCATTGTTTACAATTATGTACCAATGCATTGTTTACAATTATGTACCAATGCATTGTTTACAATTACGTACCAATGCATTGTTTACAATTACGTATCAATGCATTGTTTACAATTACGTACCATGCATTGTTTACAATTATGCACCAATGCATCGTTTACAATTACGCACCAATGCATTGTTTACCATCTCCGATACATTATCTCCCATAGGATCCATGATATCAAATGGTTCATTTTTGGGAGGTCGAATTTTTGTTGATTGCGTAAATCAATAAATAGGGATATTCATATTGATAACAAACATATCATTTAGCTTTTCCTTTTTCATAAATGAGCTTTATTCAGGATTTTTAGATAAGGGTTGCAATGAGGACCCAGTTTCATATTTCAGTTGAAAGTTGTTTTTAATTTGATTCTGCCTTTAAAATACAAATACAAGGTTCACATCGAAAAAAAGAAGGTTAAAGGAAAGCTTTCATTCAAGATGGGAATCAACATTCTCCATCCTATTTTTCAATGAAGATGACTCAGCTCACTCAGCTCAGATGTTTTCAGCCTCACATGGTCACCCATATGTTCTATCCTTTAAACGCACTAAAACATTAATTAATTAAACGTCAAATGATTGGACATGAAAAATCCTTCTATTTATTTTAGGATGTGAAAATGGTTCCAAATTCTTCTACAATGGGTCCACCTATTGTGTCAACCAAGGACCTTTAGGTTGGACAGACGCAGAAAACAAATGCATCGAGGATGGGTCAACTCTGGTTGCCATAGAAACTGAAGACGAGCAAACAGCCTTGGCCAACTACTTGCAGAGTAATGGCGAACTTCATAGTAAGACTTATAATCTTGGTTAAATCCAGACGATATCATTTAGCGTTTTTCTGTTTTACCATTATTCCTTAAAATTACGTTTTAGTAAGCATATTGATATTGAGGACCATATCCTTTTTGAAAGAGTATACTCTCACCAGATCGTGGTTATTAAATTATTTTGTGTTTCTATTATATCTCATATTTCACACAGATAAACCTTTTCACATTGGCCTGACTGATAGAGCTGAGGAAAACCAATTCATCTGGCTCGGATCGTTGGTACAGGTTACCTACTCTTACTGGAAGGCAGACGAACCAAACGGTGGCATATCTGAACAATGTGTAGCGATGAACTATTATGGCGATTTATATTGGGTTGATATCAGTTGTTCAGACCAACACCAATTTGGTTATATTTGTGAGCGCAAAACTACAACCATTTGCTGAGGATGACGAATAAGAGGATACACAAGAAATTGACAAATGTTGGAGCTGTGTATTGTAAATGTTGGTTTGTTGATTGGTTGTACGTATCGCGCCTTTCATGGTCGTAGTTTTTTACGTAACATATGCATCTAGAAGTGATAAATATGTCTCAAGTGATGAAATGAGCAAAATCTTACAAGAACTTGAAGACAAAAGCCATGGCAAAGATCAAATCAAACCAATTTCAATAAAAACAGCAAAGAATAATTTAATTATACCTCTGACATATATTTGCAACCTCTTTCTTTCAACAGCAACATTTCCAGAATTACTAAAAAAAGCAAAGGTCAAGCCTATATTTAAAAAGAAGGATGAAACTAAATTCAATAACTATAGATCAATTTCATCAATATATGGCGATTACCAGCTTCTAAAAAACATTAATCCAGTCAATTGAAAAGAACGATTTTAATATTGCCATTTTCATCGACCTGTCAAAAGCATTTGATACTGTTATTCATGAGATTGAATTAAAAAATTATACTATTATGGAATCAGAGGAAATGCACATTAGTGGTTCATAAGCTATCTTTCAAACTGGCCTCAGAAAACAGGAATATAATGACAAGACTTCCAAAACCAACACAGTCACATGTGGGGTTCCACAGGGCACGATCCTTGGACCTGTTCTGTTTCATATATATAAAATGACATTGTTACGACATCTTCTATATTCAAATTTGTTATCTTTGCTGGGAAGGTTTTAAACCATGAAATCGACTCCAAAACCTGAGAAAAGTTTTAACCATTTTGTCGGCTGTATGTTAAATACATAGGACAGACAACATGGAATGAATTACCTGAAACTTTTAGACATCTAAATTCTAGAAATAAATTTGAGTCAGATTTGAAAAAGTATTATATGGACACATGTTAAATTGAACTGTATAACTTTTAGCTATATGTGCTTATATATATGTATATTTCTTTCTCTTCTGTTACTTTTTTCCTAATTTTCTATCTTAAAAAAACAGTTTTATATTTTGTCATCTTGATTAATACAGAGAATGTCTTGTTGAATGAACCACGTGTAATTTTACGAGCACTTGTACAAGTACATACTATGATACCGCAACACGTGCCATCCCCTTCATAGGCGTAACCAAAGAGTTGTTGAAAAAATAGTATGCTATACTGTGTAAATGAGGTAAATATAAAAATCCCGAATAAATATAAAAATCCCCAATGATATTGATAATATCCAAAAATATGATAATATCTAAAAATTATATTGAATCTTCCTCTATTTAAGTATGAAAAAATTGCTAGTATAGTTCGATTAATCCAATATCTTAGAAAAGAGTTTAAGAATAGAACATTCACATGATTATTTCAACACAATAATACTTAGCGTAATTCGCAACCATTATTCAAATTCACATGCATCCATGTTCAATCATAATGACAAATAACTAATTGGCATGGCTAGGCATAATCAGATCGTAAGATAGAGAGTTGTAGGTAAAGCTGTATCGTAGATTAAAACAGATAACCATGTATGTCATCGATCATCAGGTAGTATAGTGCTACCTTCAACAAGACAGCAATACATCATAGCTGCTACTGAAAATAGACAATGATGATTCTTAATTAAGGTAGGCCAATTAGAATGAGCAATACCGGGGAGCAATATTAGGGATGATGTTCGAAAGCATTTTTCACGAATGGCTTGTGTCATTCAATTGTTCTTTGTTGTCTCTGGTGGAATAACACATATAAAAATCGTTCTTTCTGGAGACTAACACCCCCTTAATAAATTACGCATGTTTCACGGGAAGATTTGTGACCACTGCACAAATAGGTCCTAAAGTTGTTCTACTTTAGCCACCTTAAATCCACACTTGGTTGCAGTGCAATCTAGTTACACTGGATGATGATTCAGTCTTAGTTAATTCTTAGACGTAAGTCCAACAATGTCGATGTCAAACTATAGGGAAAGTATCTGATGTTTCGAGAGCCATTGTGATTTTGTTGTAATTGACTACAAACAAATTAGGATACATTAATATATCGTCCTCTCCTATAATCATCAATGGAGAACTTGAAATGACTGAAAAGGATAGATTCATATCGATCTGTAATGATCTGGAGAGAGAGTCATTTGGAAAATAATTGAAAAAAGGAACAAGAAAGTGTAGATTCTACCATGGAAACGAAGTGTGATCTTTTATCAAACAATGGCGCAAACGCGGCAATTTGTATTTGTTTGATATTCTTCTGGCAAGGTATGCAAGATTTGTTAAAACTTTGGAACTGAGACGAAGAAAAGGCTCAGGTTTGACCTAGATTGTGTTAAAGGAAATTTCAGATTTGACTTATCACCTAGATTTTCGGTTGACAAACTAAAATTGTTTAATTTCATTATCTACAGTACTATTTTTATTTAGGGGTTTGCCATGGCAACGAATGTCCCAAATCGATTGGTTATGTCCCACCATTGAAAGGTAACCAAGGGAATTGGATCAACGTACTCACTGATTTGAAAATTCCCTGTCCCGGGTACATCATTGGTTGGGAATACCAACGGGTTACCAATAGCGAGCCATTCTGGATAGCTGTGTTAACACCATTGGGTAGCATGCTATACACTGTGCGACATATAGTAAAGGTTCCAGTTACACATCTAGGACTAAATCGACTTAGAAGTCCAAATCTGAAGGTATGAAGTATCTCATCTTTATTACGCTTTGTTTATAAGAATGATTTTGAGTGTAATATGTAACTTATTAATGCTTGTTGAAAGTTTCTCTGTTTATGAACTTAGACAAAAACATTCAATTTGATTATAAATACCACTCATACAATAAGCTGCATTCTCTGTGTTGCGTCTCTGTCTGTCTATTTACGGAGAATGTTCCCATTATAGGTGGAGCATGGTGATGTTTTATCTGTGATATTCGCACATCAAACCATTGTAGGGGGGATAGCGAACGAGATTAGTAACGCCCAATCCCCTGTGTTGAAGCCAGAACAATACTATAAAGTTTTACAGAATGGGCGATATTTCGTTGACGACACCACCGTTGGAGACGTTCTCAATATGAATCCCAGTGATCTCTATATAAGAGGCTATGCATTGAGACCGCTGCTTTCCTACGGTAGGTTGCAGCTGTGACACGTTATACAATATCCCATTCCACGCTATAAGACAATTCGATCGTTGATATTGGAATAGGGTAAACGATTTCAGGATGTGCTACCAACTGACCAATGAATGTACAATTCGATCATAAAGAGAGAAAACGATATATGCATTTTGTACTAACGAATATACTTTTTTACTGTTATCTTAATTTAATTTCGTTGAATGCATTGTGTTTTTTGTTTGGTAGCATTACTGAAATGAATAGTCGCTTCAAGACCCTGGACACCCCTCCCCTATCTACTTCAACAACAGGTTATAAAGTATATGGGGGTCCAGGGTGCTGAAACAAGACTGAAAATAGGCACAATTTCCTTTAATATTTCAGATAATCCATCAGAAATTATATCTACTGCAACAAAGGTGGCGACACACTCGACCATCGTTGATCATGTAATCAATGAATTGACGTGCAGAAGTAAAATAGAGTGCGCTATGATTTGCCTTAAAGATATCCGTTGTCTTACCTATAGTTACACTAAGTTGACGAGGAAGTGTGTGTTGCATGATGTCGACGACAATGACAACTCTTTGATTAAATCAAAGCCTGGAGCAGATTTATATTCCATTATACTATGACACTTTCCCTTTGACTTATTGCACCCTATATTCACCCACTCAGTAGTTGAATAGTAAATAAAAACAAACTCAAATCTTCCACTGTATCTGGCCTGTAACACGCAGTGCACTGAAGCTTAACCGATTATAACCCACTCACTCAGTTACATGTCAACTCACAACACCTCCAGTTGAATACTCAATGCAAAAGATATCAAATTTCCAGATTAGATCGTGGACCATTTACCTTTTATAAGAGTCAGTGTGAAGTTTACGTTGGATAAACATTTCGCATTGGGTCTGATGAGAAAACGCCTATCGGCCCTTAACTATTATTTCACATAATACCCGAGGCTCATTGTTTATCCGGAATCTTGACATAAACATTGGAACATTGGACTTCTGCTATATTATATTGCAAATCAAGTGTGCCGATATACAAGTTATTATATGATGTGATTAATTATAAGATGCACCAATACTAACTATTATCATATACATATACGTGGTAAAAACCATGCTCATCCTGTTAATTTCTATATTATTGGTTTTGATCGTACATTAGATCACATGACAGTCACATGTTATACTACATATTGACACACATCTGGGCCTCTGACCCAATTCTACTTTATCTGCTCCAGATGTTTTATTTGTGTACATAGTGAAAAGTAAGGCTAAATACTTTTCCTACGGCTATGAAAAAAGGAGGTACTTACATGTATGTACGTATTCATGTTCAACTGACAGGAACTTCAACAGAGTAGTAGGTATGTGAATCGTAATTCCTCTGTATTTTGTACTAGGAAACCCAAACTAAGCTGCTGTCTCAATAAAGGCCGGTCGCTGACTAGATGTATCTTCGAGCAGTTTCTGTCAGCTTATTATTTTGAAACGGGGAACTGTTACTCTTAATACATTAGAAAGAGAAAGATACTCAACACCAAAAATAAAAAAATAAATAAAAAAAGAATTGACGCGGGAGAAGATTTCAACCTAGAAAGCCTCCAGCTCTCATATAAAGGATTGGTATCGATATGGTGAACTGAATTCAACAATGTTTTTCTCTTAAACCAATTATTAAAAACATTCTGTAAAAAAACACGGTCCTTTAGGTAATATTTGACCGATTGTAATGACCGATTGGCAACAGTTTAATGCAAAAATTATTTATATATATTTTATATAACTGTTTTCGTTAACATTTTTTGTTTTTAGTGCAATTGTTTTTTGTTCCTTTCTACCAATTCTTGAGAATGAAATAAAATGTCTTTCCGAACATTGTTGGAACAAAATAGCATATACATTTTCTTAGACCTCTCAATATTATAGTTATACAAAGGAAATGTTGGTTGATTTTACAAGTATGCAAAACCTTAAAGCAATACCCCCCAAAATAGATACATATTAAGATAAACCTTTTGATTTCATTAACAAGACACTTTTTAAAATCAACCAAACTTTCCTTTGTACAATTACAATATTGAGAGACCTAAACACATTGTGTTTGTCGTTTCGTTCCAATGAGCTTCGAATAGATGTTTCATTTCATTTCGAACATATGATATCAAGAACAAAAGAAGTTTTTTATGTGTTTTCTAAAACAATATAGAGAAAAGTATATAAATATATTTCAAAGTATAATGTTACCATTCCAAAGATGACCATTAAATTGACGATGTGTAAAATTTTCAGAATGTTTTGATAACTGGTTTAAGAGAAACGCGTGTTCAAAAAGTTCACCATATCGATACCACTCCTTTTAGCTATTATCGACCCTCTATTTGCATCATTTTGCATGGCGGTTTTGTTGTCGCAGGTAAAACTTTCGATATATGATAATAGTAAGGCTTTCGATTACGTCCTCCTATTACAGAATATTAGGCATGTACTCAGAATTTATTCCAATTATCCTTTAAAATCGGCCAAGTCCCTTTTCACCCTGATCAGTGTGATCATTTAAAATCAACTCATTTGAAATCAATTCTCTGGTGTACTAGTTAGAATAAGCTGGATTCTGTCGCTGCAGGCTGGGATTGAACCCAGGACCTTGGCATCGGGAGTCCCGTGTGCTAACCTAAAAGTTTGAGATTTTCTGTGAAGTTGAGATGTTTTCTGTAATTATGATCTCTTAAGATGAAACATAGGGAGCTCTGTCATTTATATTATATGTAAAATTTAATCTACCCCAGCATCCACACACTTTTAGATAATCACTATTAACAATAATATGTATTTTTAATACATATTTATTTTAGTCAATACAAAATATTTATTAATACAGCTACAGTTTTGTCCAGACTTTAGGGAACAAAATAATTGAATATAATGTTGTAAAGTCAATCTGTAATCACGGAAAATCAGTTCATTCTAAGCTTACGTTTAAATGATCCCGTTTATCTCCTCTACCCAGTGGGCATGCCCACCCCCCCCCCCCTGAAAATCAGTTCATTCTAAGCTTACGTTTAAAGGATCCCGTTTCTGATTCAAAATCTCTCCCACCCCCTTTGTTAGCTTCTGGATCCGCCACTGCTTGCTACACTTAGTCTAATTTGTAATAGATTGATACGTTTAGCTTAAAACCTCTAAATATTTGTTTCACCCTAGATTTATATGTATTTTGTAGGCCAAGGTGAAAATCGGTGTGAAACCATTTATAACTTGATGTACATGAATACTATAGTTCTAACGTTAAAGAAGTAATAGTATACACACTGGCTGTCGAGTTCAAGAATGTGGATTTTTTCGTGCATTTTCACTCTTGCGATAGTCTTTCTTCTCAGGCGATACTTCGACCCGAAAAAGAGGATCTTATCCCGGATACCTGGTCCAAAAGGAATACCGTTTCTCGGAAATGCGCTACAAATAGATCCGATCAACATTCACAGGGATCTGTTGTCATTGAAGGAGACCTATGGGGAGATATTCAAACTGGACTTTGCTGGCGACCAAGTGGTGGTTTTAAATAGTCATGCTGCCATATACGAAGCTCTTGTGACAAAGTCTAAGGAATATGCAGGTATATTTGTATTTCTACATTTGTTGATTAGTGGGTGTTATTTAAGGTGGGTTAAAGAATCAGAATTATGGGGAGGGGTGGCAAAATTGCAAGCAACGTGTACAACTGACTTAATATATCCTTACTCTCTCAAATACAATAGCTTCCGAAAGATCCGCATTATGTCTGTATATGAATTGATTATTAAAGTTTCAAAGTGCAAAATGGGAAACATGTTTAAATTCTCCCAAATAATAAATACGGTAGAAAAAATAATACATTATAAAAAGCTTTAGTCTTCCTTGATGCACTTGACATATATCGAGGAATGATATGAGGCGAGCCCAAGACTATTCTAAAATTGAACATTTTTATTAAGCTTGCTCGCTAGATCTGATTCTCCCTTTAAATGTTACAAAACAGGAAAACCTTTTATTTGAACTATGGCTTGTGGTTCCTCATTTCTCTCATTGCGTGAATACAGAGTGCACATATACAGGGTGTTCCATATGTTTCAGGAATGATGCTGTATTTTAGTGTTTGTCTTTTCAATCGATCTGAATTTTTTAAAAAAATGTGTCCAAATATGTTGTGTTTAAGTTGGGAAAGTTTCATATCATGAAGCTCAATAGATTTAATGATACCGTTGCTATAGTAACCCAGGGGTAAGGTAGGTGGAGCAGGTGTGGCAACGAGCAAAACATGAAATATTTGTAAATTAACAGTCGTTTTTTGTATCAAGTGTTAGAAAGTATTAGGTCGTCAAAGTTACATCAAAATTGTCAAAAATTAAAGCAAAAATTAAAGTGAATTCTTTGAAATTAAAATAATTGTCATTATTGATGGTATCACAATTGACACCCATGGCATGACATGACATGAGTCACAAATGAGAATGATCACTGGTCATTTTGGCTGAGCGTGCAGCCACATCAGATGTTTTGGATTATCTGTCTCAGATTCCCTTGATTTGAATCCCTTGTAGTTGTACCGCTCATACACTCTTGAGGTTGTTGTCATTAAGTCCCCATTTTGGACTGTTGTGCGTTACCTAACACCCCAGTCACATTTCCTACGGCGACCTTGCGGTCTATCATTTCTGCGGCCAGTAGCTTTTCTACGCTCGCCGCAGAATTGCTGCGCTCTCATACTTTTGCAGTCACATTTCCCACGGCAGCCGCACGGTGAATTTTAAATTTCTATTAATAAATAGTAGTTTTTTTCATTTTATTTACATCAGGACACTTTATAAATGTTATTCAAAGTGCTAGGATGTAATATCAAATGAAAAGTGATCGTGAAACATTGACAAATAATGATTCAATCTTTTTGAGCCAGTTGATTTCTACGGAGACCACAGAAATGAACAAATATTATAACTCCGAGTTATAATTTCTACGCCTTCCCTGCGGCCTGTAAAAATCTGCATACGCCGTACGGAGGCCGCAAGGCGAGCGTAGTTTTTCTACGCTCGCCGCAGAAACTCACCGATTTAATTGTTCTGCGGTCGACTTGCGGCCGCCGTGCAACAAATGTGACTGGGATGTTAGTTGAAATTTTATCTTTTACTAATGACATTTTCACTTTTCAAGATTGCCACTCAGACAAAATGACCTGTGATTATTCTCCTTTGGTACCCATGACATGACGGGTTTTTCAATTGTGATATATCATCAATGATGACAATTCTTTTTAATTTCCAGCAATTCACTTTCATTTTTGCTTAATTTTTGACTTTGAAGCAACTATGACAACCTAAGACTTACCCACACTTCATACAAAAAACGACTATTTCTACAAATATGACATATATTTTGCCGGTTGTTACACCTGCTCACCTACCCTATCCCTGGGTTACTATAGCAACCATATTATCAGGTCTATTGACATTGATGATATAAAACTTTCTCAATTCATTCACAACTAACATGGGTACATTTTGTCAAAAATTCAGCTAGATTGAAAAGAAAACGACTAAAATACAGCATCATTCCTGAAACATATGGAACACCCTGTACACACCCCATTCTCTTATACGTCGTAACACCGGAAGTTTACGGCGACATACAAGCATTTCAGGCGGGAGATATGTAAGTACTCATTTATTTCGACGTTTTGACAGAATATGGTCATTTCCCTTTCGTAAAGACATTGTCCATACCATGCAGACATACCTCTAGTATCAGTACGTCTCGACATCTTGTTTGAACACGGTCTAAAACTTCCCAAACCTTCTACACATATCAGACTTATATCAAAATAGCTTGTCCCAATCTTCTATTCTTTATTGTGTGCACAAAACGTATGTTTTGGACCAGTTAGCTATTTTTCATATATATATTCAGTCTATTTCAGATATCGTTCATACCACAAAACATAAACATGTCCATTGAAAATATTTAACCGTCACAATCTTTTAAGATCACAACTCCTGCAACATGTTGTAAGAAAGTCTCATTTGCTCAGTACGAGTGTTATGTGTCAGTGTGATTGTTCATCCTACACTGAAGATATCATTAGCAGATAAAGTCACAGACTACCACATATTCATGCCATGTTTCGATTTTTAGCAAGTTGAATGGCCATAAAACCTTAATATTGTATATGAGTAGAAATGATGTATGTAAATACATGGGCTTTGAAGAGAAAAGCAGATGGTACTTATCAAGGACTTTGAAATCGTTGAGAATAACTCTGAAGGATATTATCATAATTTAGATTCCTTTTCATTAACTAAATGCAACATATATACAGAAAATAGTACGTCGCATAATAACTAATTTAAAGAATTACTTCGAATAGTGCAATTCAATCGTCCACAAGACAAAATAAAATCGAAAACAAAGCTCAATCAAATAAATCTATGTAGGTACATAACAATAACAAGTTGCCTTTTTAAAACCATGATATATAGTAAAAGTGTTTGAGATATGTATGGGATAATTGTTTTTCAGGGAGAGTCACAGACACGTTTAGGACTAAATATGCAGATGCACACCAATCAATATTTTTTCGTGATTTCGACAATGAATTCGTTAAAATTAAGAAATATCTTCGTAGTGCAGTAAAGATGTACGATGACAATAGTGAAAAAGTCGTCCACAGAAGTAATGCGGAAATACAGTGCTGCATGAACAAGTTCAGTGTTTACAATGAGCAGCCATTTGACCCAAACAAAGACATCTATAAGACCCTAGTCAACATAATTACTGAATTGGTAAAATATGTAAATTTTTTTAATGTATTTTTTGTTATATTTAAAAAATATTATATTTATTTTGGATAACAGATCAATTGATCTGCGCTTAGCCTACATGAAACACATTCTATTTAAGGTATATATATTTTTAATTTAATTATTTTTGCATCTATTTGTAGTTAGCGTCTAATCGTTTCGAGGACGATGATTCTGAATTGAACGATATCATAGAGTACCAGCGCGGATTTTCGGAAGCCTTGTCTGCCGGCGTGGGAGAAGAACTCGATATGTTCCCTTGGTTACGTTATTTTGGAAATCAAACGTTCAAGAAGATGCAGTTCTCTGTAACAATGAGGAACCGGATAATTGGCGGATGGGTGGAGGAACATAAGGTAAGTCCCTATTGGGAAGAACATAAGGTAAGTCCCTATTGGGAAGAACATGAGATAAGTCCCCTATTTGGAAGAACATAAGGTTAGTCTCCTATTTGGAGAGACATAAGGTAAGTCCCTTATTTAGAGGAACATAAGGTAAGTCCCCTATTTGGAAGAACATAAGGTAAGTCCCCTATTTGGAGAAACATAAGGTGGAACATAAGGTTAGTCCCCTATTTGGAGGAGCATAAGGTCAGTCCCCTATTTGGAGGAGCATAAGGTAAGTCCACTATTTTGAGGAACATAAGGTATGTGCCCTCTTTGGAGGGGGTTTAAAATCAGGAAAACATTTCAGAAAAAACATGTGGGTAGGTTGTTTGCATCTACCCTGTCCCAAAGTCGAAATTATTTTATCATCTCTCCTGGAGGTAATGCATTGGCCTAACATATGCAATTGTTTAAATCCTCAGAAAATGACCAAAATCCAACATATGACTGCCAAAATCTGTTGCGCTAATTTCCCTCTTCCTTTCCTTCAAGACAGAGTAGAAAGGAGAGTATGTGAAAAAAAATGTTTGTAGAAAGGTTCAAATTAAGGATATTATCTATTGCAGAAATCGTTCAACAGAGACACTATAAGAGACCTCATTGACGCCCTACTAAGAGCGAGGGAAGATGGAGATGCAACGTTCAGTGATTTCAGAATAATTATTTTGGGTATGATTGTATTTGTCAAATTGTCATTTTCTAGGCCTGTTATAATGTTTACAAGGTATACGATCCGATACACTTAATTTGAGAAAGGGTATTATACATAATATGTATGCATTAGCATTTTGAGAAATACTGAAATATTTACTTTTTTAGATCAAATACTGTATAAGTGGTATTTAATCAGGGGCCAAATGGTCAAATTTTATCATTTTCCTAATTTTAATTTTCCTAAATGACAAGAAACTTCCCATTGGATAACATTATGAACACAATATTTCCGACATTTAATTTTCCGAACCTGGCAAAAATTAGACTTAGGCAATATAACCACATGTGTGGCAGTTTTGACGATTTTCAATCTAATTCATAAATACACTTGAAAGCAGTGAAAAATTTCAACTTAATGATAGTCACATTTCAAAATCGTTTTTCCTTTTTGTCAATGAGGGATTTGATAATATGATAATATCACCAATAAGTGTATGTATATGTACATGTATACAGGTGATGGTATTATGTTTTTTACTTACAGTGGATGACATGCTTGGAGCAGGCATACTGACCACTCAAGTTGTAGTTTCTGCCTTCCTCCAGTTGATGATACTTCACCCTGAGATACAGACCCGTCTACAGCATGAAGTTGACTCTGTCGTTGGGGCATCTAGGGCGCCATCTATCGAGGACAGAGATGCCATGCCAGTGTTACAGGCGAATATACATGAAATACTGAGATATGTGTCACATATTCCCATTGCTGTGCCACACAAGACTACTACAGATACTTCAGTCGGAGGATACGATATCCCGAAATCCACGCAGGTTGAACAACGTCAGACATTAAACCTTTTGACATAGGATTTTTCATTTTTGCAAAACTAGTGTAGGATTGAATTTTTGTGGGTTCTTATGATTCTTCAATGAATATATGTAATTTTGAATTTATTCGTTAATTGGTATCATGATACAGTTTGTTTGGTAATTATTACTATTTGTCACGAATTCTTTCGGATTCTGAATGATGTAACCGTTTTGTGTTTTAGATCTGGATCAACCTGTTTGCATTACACCATGATGAAAATATATTTGATGAACCATGGAGTTACAAACCCGAGAGATGGTTAGACGATTCAGATCAATTGGTGTCTATTGAAGAGAGAAATAAGTATGAGGAAGATGTCCTACTGTATTTGACGTTAAATATTCTGTTTGAATTAAGATGAAGGGGGTATTATAAAAAGATAAAAATAGTAAACTGGTAATTAAAAGGTACAGTAGTATCATTTGATATATTTCAGAACCTTTCCATTCGGCGCAGGTCGTAGAGTGTGTGCAGCAGAACAGTTTGCAAGAACGAGGGTGTTTCTATTTCTCGCCAACATACTACAAAGATTCACAATCGTTCAACCTGAGGACGCAGAGCCATCTAGTGCTGACCCCAGGGATTATACACTTGGTCTCGTTCTCAACCCAGGACAATTTACAATCAAGGCCATACCACGCTAACGTATTCTAGTCAAACTTTTGCAAGGATCGATAGTGTATGCTAATGACAGGGGATGTTATCGACTAATTTAATCAACGTGATGGAGAAGGCTGTTTTAACAAGAAAGGAGTGGTATCGATATGGTGAACTTTTTGAACACACGTTTCTCCTAAACCAGTCATCAAAACATTCTGAAAATTTTACACATCATCAATTTAATGGTCATTTTTGGATGGTAACATTATAATTTGAAATATATATACTTTTCTTATATTCTTGTATTTGATATTTGTAGCTTTTATTACACGAACATAATATTGCATTTTTATTTTATCCTCATCGTTAAATGATTGGATACAATAGTAATATTTTAGGAATTACTGTCTGTATGTTTAGTCTGTTGCTCACGAAATCAAATGGGATCTCTAGTTACTCATATCATAAACAAAAATAGATATTAAAACGTGAGGATTAAAAACGTTTAAAATCCGTCATCTCGTTCATATCTTTGCTCACCGAATTGTAATTACATAGGGTGCAATAAATCCCCGGTTCTTGTCCATCTTGTTTTGTAATTACGATCAGTGGTGATATTGTTGAATCTAGTACATAAAAACTCGAAACAGGTCTTGTCACTTGTAGTGATAATATTGAATCCTCATGTTCTTCATTCTTATCAAGTTGTGCTGCTTTGGCGCTCACAAATATAGCCATCTACTATGAAGTCTGAACAATTGATATCATACCAAGTGTAATGGTTCATCATTACACAATTTTCAGTTATACCACCTTGTGGTTCGCCTACATACCAGCCAAAGAAGGTAGCCTGTACAAAGGACCCGGTCCAGACGAATTGGTTTTCCACAGCTCTATCATTTAGGCCGATATGAAATGTTTTATCTGCGTGACAATGAGAAAACATAGATAAACAAAATAACTTCGTGAACGCTAGAGAGTATATGTAAGAGTGTAGTGCTGTCTTCTTTGATCGATGTGTTAGTCTAAAATCTCAACAAAACAACCTTTATCTTTGTATCTCTTTCATATTTATATCATCAATTGATTGTTTTGTATAACATGCCTAATAATGCTTAACGCACAGCCACTACGACATGTGTATATATTTACTTTGTTGTAGTCTTTGTATGAGGGATATGATTCTTAAAATGTATAAGTATACTAAACTGCATTCTGATACTCATAGCATCTCTCTCTGTTGCATCCAGAAGGATAGAGATGTAGAGGGCGTGGGCGTGGCTTACCACAAAAAACTGCTATTTCAATGCGAACGAATCGGAACAATGGCGAAACAGAAGTGTGCTAATATAAATATTATACTTTGGATTTAAGTACTCAACAAAACAGCCAAATTATACTCTTACCACGAAGCTCGTCATTACTCAGCAAGTAGTTGGCCAAGCCTGTTTGCTCGTCTTCAGTTTCTATGGCAACCAGGGTTGACCCATCCTCGATGCATTTGTTTTCTGCGTCTGTCCAGTATAAAGGTCCTTGATTGAAACAATAGGTGAACCCATTGTAGAAGTATTCGGAACCATTTTCACATCCTAAAATAAAAAGAACGGATTATCATGTCCCATCATGCGATTGTTGATTTATAAACGTAGTAGGTTTTTTGTGGAAATAACATTTGGATGGCCTCGTGAAGCTGAAAATAATGGGTAGTCTGAGTTATCTCCAGTTGAAAATAGCATGGAGAATGTTGATTTCCACTTTATTCTTTTAAGATGTGAATCGTATTTGTATTTTAAAGGCAGAATCAGATCTCCTAGAACCCGTTTAACAGAAACTATATTCCTGGTTACGTATTTTCCAAATTTCTGAGTAAGTTGTTCTAAGAAAAATAAAAAAGACATGCGAGTGAAAATGTAAGAAGAAATTGCTATACTCGTAAGTAAATGTGGATATCTTCTTTCAATTAATTATTCATGCATGTTCTTTCTTTGAACAAAAATTTGGGTCGAATTGATTGATCTTTGAAACTGAATAAAGATAGTAAATATGTTTCTTATACAGGGTGACCCAAAAAAATGCAACCCTCCATTTCTTCAATATTTTTCTTCAATGGAGGTTAATTGCTCTGAAATTTGGCACACAAGGACTTCATTCAATGTGGGATCTTTTGACAAAGTTTCAATAATCCCAGTCTTATATTGATTGAGTTATGGTCGTTCCAAAATATGCTTCAAATGTCGTCCATTTCCCATATTAGGTTTTCGGATGAATCACATTCCCTTCTTTCTGAACATGTAAACTCAAGAAATAATGTGTTCTGGGATCACAAATTGCAGATGAAGTGCTTCAAAGGCCCTTTCATTCTGTTAAATGCACAGCTTGGGCTGCCAATTTCCAAACGTGAAATCATCAGTCCCTTTTGGTTTGAGGTTGATAATGGCAACACTGTTACTCTTAACACACAGCGCAATATTGGCGTTCCCAGGAAGTTCTAGGCAGTTCTAGAGTGACATGCAGGCTTCAATAAACACGAACAGTGGTTCTAGAAGGATGGAGCTACTCCTCACAATTCTAATGATAGCATAGCCTGGCTCACTAGTCATTTCTATGGAAGATTATCTCTCCTAGGACAGAGAACCCATGGTCATCCCACAGTCATGATCTCAATGCCCCTGACTTCTATATATGGGGTTCTTTAAAGGATAATGTGTATGAAAATAACCCTACCGCATTTGCAGAACTCCAACAAGCAATGGCTGCAAAAATTTGAGCCATACCCATGGGGAAGAATGCATCTGTGTTATGAACAGTTTTCCTTGAACATTGCAAGTTTGTTTTCAGCGAAATTGACGATATCTGGAGCATATTTTGGAACGACCATAACTCAATCAATATAAGACTATGATTATTGAAACTTTGCCAGAGGATCCCATATTGAATGAAGTCTCTGTGTGCTAAATTTCAGAGCAATTAACCTCCGTTGAAGAAAAATATTGAAGAAATGGAGGGTTGCATTTTTTTGGGGTCACCCTCTAGTAAAACTCACGGTTTTGTATCATGACGTAATGATGATGGTCCGGGCTATATTCTGTTTGACCCGTGGCCCAACCAAATAAATCACAATTCCATCTTCTTGCTCCTAGCTTCTCAACATTTGTTTGTGCACAGTAAGGTGTTTCTACACATTCGATGTTGCATTCTGTTGCAGATTGTGCTTCAATAGATTTCAAGTGTCCATATCCCAATAAAAAGGTGTAGTCGGGTATGAACTTCTTATTTCTTTCTTTTTGAAACAATTGATGACGATATTCAGGTGAATTTAAACTTTCTGCCATGAAAATACACGTCATCATACATGTGCCTATGAATACAAGTAAATTGTGCATGTTTTTTTCTTCAAAATCAGTGACTTAGTATTTTTTTATGAATCAATCCCGTTTATTTGATTCAATCCAACGACATATGTCTGCTCTCATAAATGGCGTAGACTCAACACATCCATGCAGTTGATGCTTATCAAAATAGATATAATTACCCAGTTCAGAATAGGAATCTTTCATCAACATTTGGTTACACTTTAAATTGCAACCCATTTCCCTTTTATGAATCACTTCGGTCAATTTTTTTTATTTGGCAAACACAGATCCATTACACACAATCATAGAGAAAATACTTATGTTGAGGAGCCTATCTAAAAGGTTGACGATGATAAATTATATGGTTTAATCCGTATTAATGATATAAAATGAACAATTTCCCCAAATTAAGGTTCTTTATTATCTTTATGTTGGAAAATAGCAAAATGATACAAACCAAAACAATTCTGATTCTACTGCCCATTTACATCTTATTCCGAATCGTTATATTTGTTTCATCAATATATTGCATTGAAAAGGGAGCAATTACAATATTGTTAATGTTTTAAAGTGTATAATTACACTCTGACTCAAGCAGTAGAGCTTGTCGATAAACGTTCACAATGCTTTAAAATGTTTCCACGGAACAGACTGTTTTGAGTCCTGCGCTCCGAGGATGGATGGCGCCTGGCGAAAACCTTCAGTACATTGGACAGCCATAGAGTCAACTTGTGGATATATAGATGGTTGTAAGGGACGGTATGGTGTTTCATATGTATATATGTATGCACCCCCCCCCCCTATAAAATCATACATGTAGCATTGCCTATCATGTTATTTATCATTTTGTTCCTTATGAAAAGTTACATAAGATTGCCCTCGAAATGACCAGAAATTCCTCTCTAAATTGACCCGTATCTTTTTCAGGGACATCACGGGAATCTGAAACTTTACAAACTTAAGTAACTTTCCATAAGGTACAAAATAATTATAACATGATAGGGTGGCAATACTACATGTATGAGTTTATGGGGGGCGGGGGGACGCTGTATACATAGGACACACACATGTAGTGCAGAGAAATCGTAACTTTTTAGTGGCTCCGGGAAAAAATAAACAACATTAAGGGCCACCTTAATTAAGCCTACTAAGACTATCGTTTCGATCATTTCATAATACGTCATATTTCTGTTATTCCAATGGCCTTAAATCCTGCAATGGCAACCTTGTACACAGTGACCATAATCTGGGGATAATCCAATATTCCAATAGAACATTGAAAGAAATCAAATCAAATGTGTCCATTGTATAGTTGATCGGGTCTTTCAGAAAGGATTACCATATATCACGTTCAATGCCAAGCTGTTTATGATGATAAGAACTGTGGACGTAAAACAAAATGGAGAAAACAAAACGGTGAGGAAAAAACATTCTTAAAATACACGTTAGTATATATAAGTGTTTAATGAAATTAGATTAACTTATAAAATAATGGTCATCTATCTGTACACTAACTTAAAATCGTCTCATTTAAGTTCTAAAATGACCTTTTAAATTTAATTCACTCACAAATGTTTTTCAGGTGTGAAAATGGCTGATTTGTGATCTGACAGGTAGTTAAAGCATTTCATATGGACCCTACTTCTGATGTAGATTGATAGCAAACACTCACAGATACATGTGTTAAATCTATGAGAAATAGTGAAACAACATACAAAATGTCTAAATCAATCTGTTTTCGAAACATTCAAAATACTATTTGTGCAATCATCCTCCTGGCGATTCAATGGGAATTAGTAAATTCTTCAACATGCACGAGGCCAGTTTTAGGCTTAAATATGTACAGTCTCAGCATTAATAAAACGACGTACGCCCAAGATGAAATGTACGACGTGGTGTGTAGCCCAGGGTACGGCTTGGATGCTGGACTGTCGATCACTGGGGCGTATGAGGCAACAATGACGTGTACGGCTGCAGGGACGTGGGATATTGGCGTTCCAGAGTGTTTCAAATCAGGTGTGTAAAGCAAAAAAGCTTGATCGTTATTTATACATAGTGAGACAGTATATTATAGGCCCATTAAACTTTCTGACTTCTCAGATCATACTAGTAGTATACATGTAGCCAATTGAGTTTCACTGACATGACAGGGGAATGTGTCATAACAGAATTCAGCCCGTTTCAAGGGAATTCATGTTCGTGTACAAAATGACTAACACCCAAACAAAAAACCAGAATAAAAATCTAAAAAAGAAACTATTGACTGTCTAGCTTACCTTATGTATAAAATCATAGATTCTACATGTAAATTAATTGTTGATGTAATAGACCGACAAAAATGGGACTGCTTTCTGTTATATCGTTTACGTTCTCTTTCAGAGGGCAGTTACCCATGGTACGTGTTATTCATTGGTGTCCTTTGTGGGTTGTTAGTGATCGTCTGTATTCTACCCCGTATTTGGTACTGCTGTTTCCCATACAAAGTCCCCGAGGGTAAGCTCTATGAAAAGGGGCGCCGGGCAGGTACACCGATCGATACAGAACGACAAGAGGCTTTCGAATGGGGAAGAGACGATTATGACTCGGAAGCGATCAAACATTCGAAGAAGGGACTGGACTTTTGATATGAACAAGGAAAAAGACAATTCGCTTCTTACATAAGCGACATCTCAGAAGAGATTGATTACAATTTGACCAAATAGCGATAAACTGGATTTCATGTATTTAAATTCAAAGATTGATTTTGTTTTCGACTGGATTACCTTTCATTCCATTATCTTAATGTTATTTTGAAATGAATGTTTACTAATAATACTGTATAAATGGGCCGTTGTCATGCCACAATAATCATGTTATGATGATAATTAAATTATTAATTAATTATTGTATATAAAACTAAAGAAAATGTATTATCCATACAGACCACAGAAGGGATAAAACATTTAAAAACAGAAAATACAGAACATATTGAAATTTTGCCAACCACATGCAATAAGAAGCTCGATTAAGACCATGCTGCCATTAAACATTATTGATATGCATATTCAAACCGAACCTTTCCAAAAGATTCTCAACATTCGGTTGCCTCAGTAGGTAAACAGTGTTTAAACGTAAGTCGTTGGCCATACAATGGGTGTATAAATTCTTGCAGGTTGGTTAGAATTGTTAGCACTTAAATTAGCCGCGATGTTCGAAGTTGATATATCATCATCTTCATCCGCTAAAAGATCAATATAGCTTTTTAAAGGTAACGGCAAAGGAAGTTTGTAAATTCCAATCGGCAGCTGCAGATTCACGTAGAGGGATTTCCTTATCGCACACCTGCACAGGTGAGTTAATTCTGAGGGTTCTTTATACCTCTTGCTATGAATCCAAACTTTCCAGTCGGTCCCGTGTGGGTTTCCGAAATGACGTGGCTGTAACAAATACTCCCGCAGTTTCATCTCAAGCAGATCGATGTTGACTCGTGGTATCGCGCGCATTATATACTTAAGAGCAGCGCCGTAAGCTTTATCACAACCCGGGGGAGGGAGGGCCACCCCGTGCTGGGCATACTGGTACTCAAGATGCCAACGGCTGTTGATCAGACGAGCTAAGTAGGAAGTCATTTTTGACATGTTGGAATCGAACTGAGTTGAAAATTGAGCATTCGCTCCAAACCGCAAAAGAAGTAAGATCGCCGCCTCATCGCCAACGTCAACTGCAAGTGACAGTGGAGTTTGCTTAGCATAGGTGTTTCCCTCTATCGGTAGGTCTATAAACCTTGTCCTCGCCCCCTGATGATCCTCCATTATCATATCGTTGGTCAGGCGAAGAATGTATTCAAGACGTGATGGCCCCTTTCTCTTTATAGTAGAGCTTTGATTGGCGGAATGTATGTCAAACAAGCAATGGAAGGTGCCACTACAAAATCTGTAAAATTGTCTCAAAAGACTTTGAAAGACATTTTTATCTCCGAAGTTATACCACCAACATATATCCGATATAAAGCTACGTAGGAAATGATAAGTGTAAAAACAGGGTGACTCCTTGTTTTTCGAAAACTCCACTAGATCTTCCGCAAGGTCGTGTAATGATTCCCCGGTGACCTGGACAACTTTTTCCATATGAGAATGTATACTGTATCGCAGATCGTACTCGTCATTACCAAACTTTGCCCTCAGGTGTGATTCCAATTCATCAAATATATTGCGTTCTACTATTTTAACACTATCAATGCTTCTTGAGCAAATTCTTCTATTGTCCTTAAAGGTGCTTTTCAGCAAGATATTGCCCCTTAACGGGCCTGCTCTGGTATTTGAGTAGTAACGAGGCATCGACACAACATGGTCATGTTGTGTGCTGTCTGAGCTAGCAGATCCAGATAACGCATCCTCAAACGTATCATCTGAATCACTCGGTTGTGGTGCTTGTTGTGAAGACATGCTTATAGATGATACGATGTTACTTTAGTCGAACAGCTGGTAATTGATAATACCTCTGTATTGTTTGCTACTGCAGTTCGTTGCTATGCTAAATGGCTGTGATGTCATTAGCGTCACAAATGGGTTCCTTAGGTAAAATCGTGTAGTCATAATACCAATTGGATACTTTCCAAATAGTATGTGACGTCACATGTGTTGTTGTCTTCCCCGTACTGGCAACAATGCCAAAAGTAAACAAACATCCAAACCACTCTGAAACGATATGTAAGTGAGACTGATGCAATGGGGAAAATGTCATGCTCATCACGCTTTCACTGGCATATCTTTTAGGTAAGTTTAAACACTAATTCTTCGAATTTTACGGTCTTTATCTGCTAGCACCAAGCATATAATTTGTTATGATTAATCTCGTCTTCAAATATTTTCCAATTTGCTTCCAGTGTCTTTCTTTGATCAGAGAAACGAAATGTTGGATTTATGGACGTGGGAATGCCCATCGTGTCTGTCAAGGGCGAGCTTCCAGAATGCCTTAAATCAACTACTTCCCGGAGATTGCATTCCGATGGTTCCTCTAATCGCTTCATGGATCTTTCTTATTGCTGTCTTCAATTTGGTATTTCCACTACTTTTACAAAATATGTTCCGAATTCTACGTATAACACTTCCGTTTGGAGTTAAACTAACAACACCTTTTATTCTTTACCGCTTCCTTTGGGTCCCACTGAACTCTACTCTACATTATTTGATGAGGATAAAATTCGGATTCCCTGATGATTACGTCGATAGTGTTATCCCGTTCCTCTCCATGGTTATCGCCATTGGCCTGTTGGTATGGTCATTATATATCCGCAACATACGACCTTACTTTGCCTTAAACAGAAGATACGGATGGGGGGAATTCCGCCACATTCGCTCCTATTTGCCAAAAAGGACAAGACATGGAACTATTTATGGATAGGACGCCATTACGCTGACTTTTGATTTTTGGATATTAACATTGAATATAGTTTACTTTGACAATCAACAGCAACTGTGACAATTGTAAAAGCATGAACATGTACCATCTGATTTGAATATTGTTTCCGCTCACTAGACTTTTATCTTATTCTAGTAGAATTAGCAACTGCAATAATTCATTAATAGTATCTAACCGAACAGTTCGACTTTTCTTCATCTATTCTGCCTGGAGACAAAAAACAAGACTTGTTTACATGTTTGATATATAACAATTTTTTGGAGTATATTTAAGGTGAAATTTAAATAAACCATTTATGATGATGATAAACCATTGATAAAGATTATTCTTTCACGCATATTGCGATGTGTATATTTTTGCTCTTTCTATCACGTTTATGGAAGGAACCAAAGAAAAAAAGAAAAAATATCGATAATAGATCTATTTGCAATATTTGGAAATGTTAAATGAGCCTGCGTGTAAAATTTCAAAAAAATTAGGTCGTTTGAGAGAACCTACTGTTCCATCAGAACTAAAAATAAACTAAAGAAAAACCGACGTCCTGATTCATTAAATGTTAAATATATAATATTAAACGTCTCTGTATATATCTGTACTCTGTACTGTTTGTGTACTTTTGGTTAAACCAATTAAAACATCAGTGAGGTTTAGCTACACGTATGTAGTAAGAGAAAATGGAGACTTTAAGCTAGCGATGTTTTTCACAACGTAACCGTGAACGCAAAGTCAATGTATCAAAACAGTAATGTCGCCCCTTCACTATTATAAGGTTCTCACTACCAATATGGGTCAAACGCATGTGAAAGTGGATTTCCCATAAATTCACCATGCTCTTTCCAAAGATTAAGCTTATAAAGCTGTATCTCCAACAGAAATAGGAGATTTCTAATGCAATAAGTTTCTATGTCCTTCATTTTAAAAATTAAAGTTAATTACTTCTACATGGTTCTATCTCTTGAGATAAAACTTTTTAACATTCAATGTCATGATTCAAATTGAAGATAAAACCTTTTTACTGACATTTAATGACATAGTATATCCAGTGTGAGACAGACAAAATGCCACCCAACACATAATGTTGCATTACTTTTTTATCTGCATAAATTCTGACTTGTCCTTTTGCATAGTAAAACTTTACTCCATGGAGCAGCTCCAGAGGAAGGTTCAGATTACTAGCTAAATTAGATGCACCTTCATGAGCATTACAAGATGAGTGGTCTATTCCTTTGCAGGCACGCCTGGATTTTCACAAAAATGTCACCCACCTTTTGAAACAGAATTTTGTAAAAATGTTATATAATGACTTGTCATGTTCGATCTGGATATATAAAAGGTTACCCTTCGCAATAGTGTGGCTTGCTTCACTGTATTCCAGGGAAAGAAAAGGTTCTATCTCCATCATTTAAACTCACTGTTGACGCAAAAGGTCTCCAAAACTATTTTTCTTTAAAAAGTAGCCTTAAACATTGGTATTTCTTGCCATCCTGATCAGGAATGATTCATCTTGGCTATATGATGCATGGGCATTCATGACAAAAATCTACTTTACTGTATCACAAAGATAGAGTTACAACAAGCGCTACTTAGTCTACTTCAGATACCCGATCAGCTTCAGTTTCCTGTTTAGAACTGATTTGCATTTTCACGCTAGCGTCAACGAGAATCATTATACTCTGTCTCATGTCTATTGAATACTATGCTGGCAATTTTGATTTCGATGAACAGTTTAATGCTTTCTGCAAGAAATGATGTATACTAGTATCATACATGTTTTAACTCCAAATATGATACGAAACGTGTTTGTTTAAAATATGTATCATAGAAACCAGATATATAACTATCAATGGCATATTACACGATGATGTGGGACTAAGTAAACACTGTAACTGAATTATTGTTTATATGATAAAACTACATGCATTTGTAAAGGGCAATTTGAATGTACAAGTTGAGGTTTCGATTTTATATGCATTGGATTCCTTTCTCCCGCGCAACAATTGGTAACTAATAAAATTTTCCTTACATCCTTATACTCAATCGTGCAAGTAAATACAACGAATTTGAGATTAATCCCTAAAGCACCATAATTCTACACATCCGTGTAAAAGTTCTCTTTTTCACGTGTAGCTTAATCTCTCAGTTGTCACATCGTCGCATGAGAATAACTTTGTACTATCTCACATTTTTACGGAACTGAGAAATCAAGGTTTGAAAGTTTAGAGGTCTGTATCTTACTTAGTATTGCTATGTGAAACTTGATTTTTTGTATGTCACCTGGTCTCACCCTAGAGATATCTTATATGAAATATCACACCTTGAAACAATTTACAAGATCCTTTTTTAAAACTATGGAAATGGAGTTGATACATTTTCCCACCGGAATAACAGCTTATTTCTAATTTCAAATTGTCATACTGTTTCAACCAATCAACTCTCTAAGAATTGGTCATGTGACTTGCAAAACTTGGAGTTATAACAATCTTATATTAAAACTAAGTATGCCAATATGCATGTTATTGTATCTAGAATGAAAAATAATGTTTTGCTTTGTAAAAAAATCTTCAAAAACCAAAGAATATTATTTAATAAAATAAAGAAAATTCAATTTATAAAACTTTAAAATCAATTTCTCAAATAAGTACAATTATTTCTTAATTTTGGAATCTCAGGACACCCTTCAAAAAGAATTTATTGCCTTTGAATTGAAACTAAGGCAGAAGTACAATGCATTGAAACCAATGATGCCAATACGGTCCGCCACATATTTCCCTCGGTATAAACCCTGTAGCCTAAACCTCCCAGCACATTACAATGTAGCCCCTAAGGGCTGGTCCGCTGGTCATTATCAGGTTATTTCTGATACAGACCAGTTGATTTTTTCACTGGGTATAGGAGAATAACATTGCAAGTGGTCCGTAATTCCATTTTGACCAGCAGGTTTCAGATCCTTAGGGCCTAAGACACAACCAATTTTTATTACATGCACATGGAAGAAATTTGAAAATAGAAAAATAATTTCTAATTCATTTTAGATTAATGAAAGTGATGAAACCTCGATTTAGGTAATCACATTTTGTTCATTGGGATGCAGCTATCATTATCCATTCATGTTCTGTTGTTTGCTACTCTGTGGAGTACAATTTGGAACTGAAGCAATTGTAGAAGTGGAGACTAAGAGTGGCTCTTTGTAAAGAAATTGAACCAATTTGTTACTTTTCCAAAATAAAATGTAGATGATCTAAAAACAATGATCCCAAAAATGCAAAAGAAAGGACAAATCTGAAAAACATACTAGTAATAAAATAACTAAAAAGATCCCAGATGTTCATTGAAAAGCGCAAAGTAAATCATAATTGAAGAGAAATAAAATAAGTGTTTTAAGGGACTATACTAACATAAAGATAACTCCTTATTGATATAGTGTATGGTCAGTAAATGTTAAAGCTAGTTTAAATAGATTTAGCTTTTTTCCACAAACTATAAAACATCATTTTGAAAGAGATTTCAATAGTATACAGACAGTGATTGCCTTTGAGCAATGTAGTGCAAAATATGACAGTTACTATAATTTGTTTTGATTACTATATCTAGTATATAACCTATTATTATGTACTCTATTTGAAGAAACAAATAAGTAGTCTTTCATTTTCAACATTTAATGATGACAGCTTCGTTTATGCATTTCTATTGCATTTGGCCATTCAAACCCCTATAAGACCTGGTAGCAGGGAAGATAAAGGGTACTTTTGACTGCTCACATGATCTAATTAACTGGTCATTTGTACTTTTCATCCTCCCTGGTAGCAAGGATTTAGCTTTTCGAGGAAATTAGTAATTCTATTTCATATCATGTGGCCATGTGAATAATCCAATGAGCATCCATAATACAAAGAGTAATTGAGGGCATATAATTTGAATATGCATGGGATTACACACACTGTATCATTTTATTTTTTTGATCTACTTGTAATAGTTCTAAAACTAAAACATGAAAGGCCAGGCATGCAAACTGGCATGGTATTGTGTTACAAAACATTATTTCATTCTAGATACAATAACATGCATATTGGCATACTTCGTTTTAATATAAGATTGTTATAACTCCAAGTTTTGCAAGTCACATGACCAATTCTTAGAGAGTTGATTGGTTGAAACAGTTGATATCAGATATGACAATTTGAAATTAAAAATAAGCTGTTTGTCTGGAGATGGTACAATTTCACACTGAATTCTAGCTTAATGAGAGGGAATTGAGATGGGGCATGTATCTGAGATGAAAGCCTGTGTTTCAAATAGTAAAATTCCATGTCTATCTCAATTTTTTTGAAAATGGCAGTTAGTACAAAGTTATTCTCACGCGACGACATATAGTTAAATGCATGTTATAAACGAATGAAGGTGAACCACCAATTGAGACATTGAGTTTCAGGTTCCATATAAAATCGAAACGCCAACCTAAACACCAACCTAATCGCCAATACAAATGCATCGCTTAAATATTTTCCGTTCACGTTTAGGTTGTGAAAAACATTGCAAGCTTAAACTCTCTATGAATTCTTTGGTATATGTCAATAATTTATTTTCAACATTTGTTGTCTTTATGAAATGAATTCGCATTGTTAACGTGGCATGGCCTTAATTGTGAATGGCTGTGGGGAGAGAACGATGCCGAGTTTATAGTGTCTGGGGTCAACACTAGGTGCCTCTGCGCCCTCGGGTAAAACTACACTGAATCTTTGTAGTATGTTGGCGAGGAACAGATATATCCTTGCTCTTGCAAAGTGCTCCCCTACACACACTCTGCGACCTGCTCCAAAGGGAAAGATTCTGGAATCAAAAATACAAATGCATTAAAGATGTACACGTATCTCTAGATCGTTGAAACCCCTTGCATATTCTATCAAACGTTCGTAGTAATACTTAATTAATACTACACAAACAATTAAATACTTCTTATAAACGGTAAATCCCTGTTGGAACGGTTAATTTTTAAATTAATGGGTAGTTCATACTTATTTCTTTCTTCAACCGACAACAATTGTCCTGAATCATCCAGCCATCTCTCAGGTTTGTAACTCCATGGTTCGTCAAACATTCAAACATATTTTCATCGTGGTGCATTGAGAATAAGTTCATCCAGACCTACATGCATAGGATGAGGCAAAGATTTTATGTCACTTCAAAAATAAACACTAAAAATTTCTGCTCTCTCTCTCGCCTTGGAATCATATTTTACCTGTGTGGATTTCGGGATATCGTATCCTCCGATTGAAGTATCTACAGTTGTCTTGTGTGGCACAGCAATAGGAACATGTGACACATATCTCAGTATTTCATGTATATTCGCCTGTAACACTGGCATGGCATCTCTGTCCTCGATAGATGGGGCCCTAGATGCCCCAACGACAGAGTCAATTTCACACTGTAGACGGGTCTGTACCTCAGGGTGAAGTATCATCAATTGGAGGAAGGCGGAAATTACAACTTGAGTCGTCAAAATGCCAGCACCAACCATCTCATCAACTGTCAAACAAATCAAAGGAACCGGTGACAGATCTTACGTTCATAAGTTATTGCAATAACTATTATATATTGTCATATTTCATCTGAAGATGTATATGCTTTTGGCTACTCAAAATAATGGTTAAAGGGCAATAACATTGTATCTTAATATCAATAATATTGTATCCTACTTAAGTGCATAATAATATCATCACTGAGTGTATCATCTCCATCTTTCCGTGCTTTAAGTACAGTGTCTGTGAGGTCCCTGATATCATCTCTGTTGAAAGTTTTCTGAAATTAGTTAGGTTTACTCCATAGTAAACATTAAACGCATACTTAAGCCGGAAATATATCCCAAAATTAGCAATACTAAAAAGAGGGGGTACCACATGGTTCAAAGAAGCCACGCATCTTCAATGAAAGTCATATGAGGGCCCATCGTTGCTGATTGGTCAATTGACAGGAAAGACGTCGTGTTTTATATTGTAAATATCAGAGATTTTTTTCATATACTATTATACGATATTGTGTTGATTAACAAATATACGTGCATTGCTTTCCCCTTGTGTTACCCCTGATATAGTCTATTTAATTAAGTCCAATGGGTACGGGTACATTGTTAATGTAAATGGTTTCCAGTAAAGACCTATGAATACCTTATGTTCCTCAATCCATTCCCCAATGATCTGCTTTCTCATTTTCACAAAGAATTCCATCTTTTTGAATGTTGTGTTTCCAAAATAACGTAACCATGGAAACATGTCGAGTTCCTCTCCTGAGCCAGCTGATGTAATATCCGAAATCGCTTGTTGATATTCAATGATATCTTTCAATTTAGGGTCGTTGTCCTCAAAACGAGTAGACGCTAACTAAACAAAGATAATAAGTTGGACACTAAAATTACAAATATTGGTCTAAGGAATATTCATGTCATATAACGATTTGTAAATTACGATGCACTAAATAAATATAATACACGAAAATACATAATGCAGTTAAAGATTTAATTGAATTAAACCGCGACTAAAACTACACTTTTACCAATTCGCTCATGACATTTATAAGAGTTGTGTAGATATCAATGCTTGGATCAAATGGCCGTCCATTGTAATCATCGAACTTCTTCATGCACCATTGTATTTCAGCAGAGCTTCTGTGTACAACTTTCTTTCTATTGTCATCATACATCTTCACTCCAGTATGGATAGTTTTCTTAATTGTTGAGAACTGATCGTTAAAATCCCGAAACACAATAGCATGGTGAAGGTTTGTGAACTCCATTCTGAAAGTGTCAGTCACCCTCCCTGCAATATCATATTATTAACATGCTATAGTATGTTACACTGCTTCAAAGCAACCAGTTTCAAGAACCTAAAAAAGATTATTATGCAATAACATAGAAAAATATATTTATTCAGCACACAAATGACATTTGTATATTTAAGATTATTTAGTGTTTAGTGCAATTAGCCTATGCCCTCTAGTAATTTGAGGCCTGTCAGGCATGTTATTTTTTCAGAATTAAAATGGCAGAGGAGCATCAAAATATAAGAATTTTTACAAGAAAATTTACAAGCAATCCAAGATATACAAATGTCATTCATGTGCAATATGAATATATTTTTCTGTACAGTGCGTATCAAAAAAACGCAGCAGATTGTTATCTCGAAAAAGCACAACACCAGTGATAACAGCATTGATTTCATTCAATGCACCATAAAGCCATGTGTCTCCTCTTTACAATGATATATCATTCATTGATATTTGGTCATGGTTGGGCGAGTAATCATTCCATTTGCAAAGTGGGCCAAAATTAGCTTGGGACCAAGTTATAAACATCGCAAAAGTCAGTGTACGGAGCCCCATGCAAAATTGGAAGAAAACATAAAACCAATGCTGACTGCATCCTTTTCATTCAATGTACCAAAAAGCCAAATTACTGCTTTTTGCAATGGAATATCATTCATTCACAGGGAGTCATCTCTGGCCGAATAATCATTAATTTTGCAAAGTGGGGCAAAATTCAGCTCGGACCCAAGTTTCAGACATAGTAAAAGTCAGTGCAAGGGGCATAGGGGCTATTGGAAGAAGGTGTGACAGGTGTGGCATAGACAGTAAAGTGTTCATACTCATACTCTTGCAAGAATACATTCTATACCCCTCCAAATTGCCAACACTTCCTTGCACATAAAAAAAGTCACAACAATTCAAGTCAGGGGAATTTCCATTGGCACTTATCCCTGGCACCGATTTTTTCAAAACTTGGTCCAGAGCCGATTTTGACCCACTGTGCAAATGGAAGGATTTCTCACCCAACCATTACCACATGTTAATGAATGACATATCATTGCAAAGAGGAGAGACGTGGCTTTATCATATGGTACATTGAATGAAATTGATGTAGTCATCACTAGTTTTGTGATTTTACGAGATAACTACTTGTTGCGTTTTTTAATTAGTATGTCTTTCTTAAGCACTTCACTATGAATGCAATTTGATAGGTGTGTTAGGGCCTGTTTCTTCATAAATTAATTCTGGATAATGCATGGGAGTTTGCGTCCCTTATACTGGATGATGTTTATTTTTCTTAATGTGTTTTGTAACACTCCTTGGTCTGTGTATTTCTGCAGTGTTCTCATCGAAATGTCTCTGACCGTCACATATATGACCTTCACATATAGAATGATCACGCATAACATCACAGCGCACCTACCAAATTAAGCGTGGCAGTTGAACGCGCGGGGTACGGTCAACACGAGGATGATGAAATCTGAGCAAACATATGTTATCATCGTTTCAGAGAGATCTGGTCTAGTTTCCAAATATTCTTATATGTGAGTGTCTATAACAACATCCGAGACAGTGAACTTCAAGGTGAATTCCATAGCTTAACCTACACAAACTCCGAATGTAGTATTATGGTATAACGCGCGGGTAAGATACGGTATCGCAAATTCCAATTACTTGTGTTGTACCTTACCGTTACCGTGCGTTATACCGTATAGTTAATGTTTATTTATGAAATTCACCGTCAAGTTCACTGTCAAGGATGTTGATACAGACATGATTTACATATAACAATATCTAGAAAATTTGACCACATCTTTCTGAAACGATGAAAACATCTGTTTGCACACACTTCATCACCCTCGAGTTGTACCGTACCCCGCGCGTTCAACTGCCACGCTTAATTAAAGTAAGCCAATCATTTAAAACGCCATAGACCTTAGAAAAATTAGTATTACTCAAATCTATCTATAAGTTTTGATCAATCTATGGCTATCTTCTCGGTCCATGTATTATGTACCAAGACCCCACTTAAGATATTCTAACAAGGTAGAAAAAATACAGAGTGAATACCTGCAAAATCATTTGTCTTTGTCACTAAGGCTTCATATATAGCAGCATAACTATTCAAAACCACCACTTTCTCACCAGCGAAGTCTAGTTTGAATATTTCTCCATAGATCTCCTTCAATAACATCAGTTCATTGTGTAAGTTTATTAGATCAAATTGCAGTAAATTTCCAAAGAGCGGTATTCCTTTTGGACCAGGTATCCGGGATAAGATCTTCCTTTTTGGATCCAAAAGTCGCCTGATTAAAAATATTATGACAACAGTAAGAGTTACTGTTATAATCCACATGCTATTTGTTAAGACTATGCATACTGTATATGATGAGACAATTTTGAGAAAAGGTTGCCGTTCAACATGTTCAAGGTATTTTTCTTTTATGCTATTTAGTGCTACATACACTTGAGAGCATTGACAGCGCTTATGACAATGCCGTTACATATGGAATTTTTTCTGCATCTTTATTCGATTTTCACACTTTTGTATTTGATTACAACCATTCGATATTCCACTCTATTAAAATAATTCGAAACACGTAATAAATTTGTTTGTTTTTACACATTTATATTTGATTTATGTCCTATATATGCGGTACATGCACTTGTATATGCGGTTTATGTTATTCAATGTTTGGTAAATGTCACATATTTAAGTCCATGTACACACACGAACAAAGACGGTTGACACATATATTTAGAATTCGCATCAAATACAAATACACTTTAGAACCAAACAATGTTCATTTACCGAACAATCAGAGAGTACAAAATAGCACGGACATATAGTTACTTACCCCACATAATTAATGACATGTACTTTCGCATAAAGTCACGTGACTTACCCCACATAAATGACACATGCATGTAGCATAAAACCATTCGGTAAATCACGTGACCAGTGACGTAGAAATAATTTCAAAATGGATGAAACAAGCGAGGAAAAAGAATTTGAACACGATTCATATTCACAATTCAGAGGGGAAATTGAAGTTATTAGATCATTGCAACAGGCATGAGGCTACAAGCGATCCTTTCTTAATAGAAGATACGTGTTCGCGATTGGAGAATCACACCAGAGCTCTTGGAATATATAGATGGCGCGTGACTTACCCCACATCAAAACAGTGAACATTGGTTTATATAAAATCATTCGGTAAGTCACGTGACTTACCCCACACATTAATATGTTTACCACAAATGAATATGTTACCCAATACGAATGGTACTTGGCATCGCACATATTTAAAATTTAAAATACTTATCAAATTTATATTTGATCGTGTCGAATACAGTTTGAAGCATCTTACATATTTGTTGTGTAAGACAGTCAATTATATGTGGGATAGTAGGTACCATTTGTTGTAACTGGTTTTGTTTATGTTCGGTTTAACTCACTCCTTGGGGTAAAAACCGAAGATATTAATGTTACGAATATTGATGCAATAAATACACTATAGTTACATGTCTCTTCAAATGATGTTTCAAAACTCTGGGGGATATCAGAACTAGGTCAAGGAGGTACACAAGGATGTACGTATGCCTCACAGATAGCTCAATGTATTCACTCTGATATGATTTGAATGTATGGATGATTTGAGCTATGCTATTACAAAAAATAATTTTGTCTGCCTACTCAGATACTCAAAGTTTAAATAAGTATATTTTCCCCTGGATTTTGTAGACGCTACTTTATTCAACAAATTTTCAATTTTGATTACTACCTTTGTAAAGTACATGTATGTAAACAATTTTATTCATAGAGTCATTTATTTTTAGTGAAGTTCAAAACCATTCTTTTTTGTCATTCACAAAAAAACGAGATCCTAATTTACTTAATCCCCCTCCGTCACAAAATGGTTCACTTGTAGACAACTTCGTACCTCCATATACAAGCTTAAGTCAGATCCTCAAAACTATAACTTTTACTTTACTCCGCATTGAACATATTGCATCATTTTTAACGAGGGACATATTTTGAAACTATCTTTCGCTCAGTAAAAGAGTTATAGTTTCTTTGCCTTCAGAAACCGACCCTTTGTTAATCAAGTGCGGGATTTATTAGAGCATTGACTCAAAAGCTTAGCTTAATTGTTCTTGAAACGTGAAGGGAATGATGTTTTTATGCAATATGGGAAGAATATCAAGGATATCAACATAAAACAATACACAAAACAATGTAATTACACTTTACCCTCAATGGCAAATAGGTGGCCATGACATAATCATGTAAATATTATTCATACAGTAGGACGACACAGCATTGTTATTTCAGTTTGTCAGTTAACGAATCAAAGTGGCGTTTCGAAGTTAAACAATAGTATTTCTTATTTCGCATTTTTGAGAATTTTATTTTTTAGTGTGATTTGAACTCCGATTGGACTATTTATAAGGTCCTACTTTCCAGGGAATTTTCCCTAATAGACTAGATGCGAGTAGAAATAATCTTGATTCACGTCATTAAATATTCAAAATTCAGTCAAACTGATGCCATATTTGAAATCTACATGTAAAAGTACATCTAGGTCCCATGTTACAAAATCACAAAAAGTGAAATATCTTTTCTCGTATTGGACAGATAACATTTTCTTTTACTGGACACATTTTAATTTGCATAACTATTAGATACATAAGGGGGATATAAAAATTGAACTACTAAAACAGATGTAATTTAAGTTAAAGCGAACTTTCTACTATACCCGCCATGCTACCTGACCCGAACGAACCACCTGGTAGTGAAACTGGTAACTACCTACTCGCATCTGCGTTATCAAAATTTATTGCTATTTATCTTTAATTACACACCATGATTGACAAACCCGAATAGGGCAACATCAATTTGAATATTGAATATTACCTCCAAATTCCAGACAAATACGAAGGAAAACCTCCAATTTAATTTTGCAAATTATCTCACAATAGCTTACAAGACCAAAAACTGTTTTTTGGCACATCTCGTCTATTGGGAAACAGAGAATAAAGGAAATTACTTTATGAATATTCTATACAACTATATGAATGACAGTGGGCCCAATCCATTTACGTCGTATAAAGTATTTTGAATGATAATTTAATCATCTTTTGTGCCGTCCGACTGCACACGTACACTTGGTCCGTAATTGGCACATTCCTTTGTTCAAACATAATCAGAATCCGTGAGAATAATTGCATGACATTCAATCGAACCGTGTAGAAAGGCGTTTGGATAAATCTATCAACACAAGACGTTAATAGTATTTATCTGAACGTTTCTAGAAATAAACACATAAGGAGTACAGCTGGTCACAAATTTATCTGAGTAATTGAACGGATGATTTAAAACTAAGTACCTAATGAATTAATCTACGTTGGATTTAATAAACTAGTGTTTGCATGAAATCATTCTACCGAGAGGCGCATGTGAAAATATATCATTAGCATTCAAAAAACGAGTGCTCTAAGTCACTTACCCAATTTATATAGTCATGTACTTGTTTTTTCTCGCACATTGTAAAAAATAAAAATGCTCAACAATATTCTTCAAAATTGTTGAAATTTAACAAAAACACATTCGTATTCTTGGGGTTTCGTAAGATCAATAGTTCCACTTGTATAATCACTTACTTGTCTAGTCATTATGGTTCATGTACAGCTTGTTAACGCTCAATTATTATGTTTATCTAAACATCTCAATTTTACAATCCAGATTTAGGATTGTGAACTAACCTGGAAAGCATCAAAAAGTGTGGAGAATCATTCCACTGTTGAGAGGTCATTGAGAGGTCAAAGCCTCATTCTGAATATCCCATGACTTAATAATGTAGAATCAAAATTAAATTTGAGAAATCATAACATTTTTCTTCAGTTAAAATCGCAGTCCAGTGAAGGTCTTACACAACGCAGATCATTTAAACCCTTGTAGACCATGTTGCTTTAAGAGCAGTTGATAGTAAGTAATATATATTATATGTTCTACATGGCTTATATGGTCGACTAACTTCCTTAAGCGGGATTATCCAATACAAATATGGCATCATAGATAAAACATGACACTGGTATGGGGGAGTTCCACGAGGTATGACTATCATTATTTTGCAGCGATCATAAATACGCAAAAATATTTGTTTCGAAACAAAGGCGAAAGAAAACATCTTGCATTGAAAGTAAGTCATTCAAAAATGTGTTTCTTAGTATTTGTATATTTGAAAAATATTTTACATGGAGAGCAACCGTTAGAATATGATAATATTGTTATAAAATAATTATAACATGTTTCTATATTATGTCAAACATGCCAATATTTATCAAGAAGATATTTTTGCTCTAAGATAAACATTACAGGTTTTAATATTCTAAACACTATATGTGTTTTTGTAACTTTGGTAGGAATCTGCATTAATTATTAACCGTTCATATAATATTTGATGGCTTTTGCTGATGAATGAGACCTACCATGCCTTTTGTTTATTACAGATGTCCTGTCTTAATTTTGTCGTTGTCATGTTGATGGTGGTTGTCATTAAGGTCAATTCTGAAGGTAGGAAGTAACAAGTTGTCTTTAAGAGTGACAGGTGAAACTGAATGATCGCAATTCGCCATAATTTACAAATCGTACTTTCTTACAGTTCTACTTGTAATACGAACTTCCTACTATATATTACAAACTGGACACTAATACAACACTATGCCAAGAATAACAGTAATTTATGACTGAGGAATGCATTTGCTCAAATTATAAACAAGGCTGTATAAAATAATGTTCATTATAAACTAATCGAACTCCTTGACAACTAATGACGTAGTGCGCAAACTTCTTAAAGCCCCCGTATGAAGTTTAAACCACTTTTGCTTATATTGTTGTTTTACCAAGTGTTATCAAAGTGTGATATGTGAACTTTTTTTTTTGGTTCATAAATAAGCGAGAAATGAGCTCACACATGCATGCAAATGGTTCAGAGAAAAGTGCATTTCAAAATGTCAATTCTCATAGAAACCAATGGTACAATAATATTTAAAACATATACATTCTTTTTTAACCTTGCTTGACAATCAACATTGGTTTATATTTAAAGGTTATACGTTTTTGACACCTGAGTGATATCATGATGATGTCACTTAGGTTGCAAAATATTTTTGATATGCTAAGACATTGAAGGCACATTAGATGTGTGTCATTTGTTCAATCTTTGCATTGGTGTTAAAATGTTAATGTTTTTGCACTGTATGGTGTGATATTTGATGAGTAAACAATTTACTTTTTTTTAAAAAAGCGAGAAATTTGAGTATTTGAGAAATGGAAAGTCATGACAAATAGTCACGCCTAACCATCGGCGTCAAAAAATAGCGGAGTACAGTTTTTTGTACGGTGACGCAAATCGACTGCTTTGGAGCAAAAACTATGACAAGGGTTCTAAAAATTAATTTGATGAAAACAAGTGCGATTTCATGTGAAATAAAAACAGCATTCTCTTAGAAATGGTTTTAACTTTCTAATTATTATATACTTTTTACGAGCACTGTTCGGATTTTTTCTGAGTGAATCGGCCCACATAATCGACCCAAGTGAAAAAGGTTGTCTTTTTCACATTTCTTTTGGTTTTTGTTTTCCCTGCCGTCTGAGAGTATGGATTATTTTTATGAGAATATGTATTTGTTAAATACACATTTTAGAACGGGCGAAGATTCAACAAATAATCATTCATTGTGTATATTTAAAAAAGATCAGATTTGTACTCTGACGCATAAGCTGTACGGTGACGATTCATTATAATTTGTGAGAAGTAATATAAAGAACTCATTATTTATTTCAAATCGCATAAGTTTTAATGTGGAAGTTCAAATGTTGATCCAGTCCCTCGTATAAATGTTGTCAAATGATCAGTATCAGGCGAAAGTTACTGCAGTCACTTTTGAATTTAAGATGTTGGAAAGGAAGTGTCGATTTCGATACTTTTAATTTTATTCGAATTAAACTTCTTTATAGTTTGCGTTATGCTTTGATGATCTAAATGAGACTAAAATGAAATGAAATGGAAGTTCTGGAGTATGATCATTTGTTCATATATAATGCATGGGTGCCACAGTTCAACGATATCTTCCACAGCTTAATGGAAGGTTACTGGAAATGTATGATACGGTAAGAATCATGAAACCAAAAACTCAGTATATTTGTTGCTATGCTATTGATGTTTTTAAACAAGTGATGTCACAAGTAAATCACATCTTGCACGTGTGACTTTTTAGGATGAATGTATGTATGTATGTATCTTTATTATTCCCACATCGAGGTGGATTTCATTTTCATTTATAATTATATTAGGCTACAAATACGATTTTGCTATTTAATAGCATAAAAATATAAAAATATAAACAATAACTACAATAACCTGTACAAATTCAACGAATGACATGAGAACAGACTTATGTTCAATTTAAGTGTTTGGAAAGGGAGGTAAAAGAAGTATGTTGCTTTCCCTTATCAGTTGATCAATATACTTTATATACATAACAGTTATTGTTGTGTTATCTTTGTTGAAATCTGATGTTCCGCAGATCATAGCACTGATGCTCGGTAGTTGTCTCAGTTCTGTTCCTTGTTTTTGGATTATTGACCTTATGATTACTTCTCTTTGAGAGTTGAAGTTGGTACAATTCTGAGAGATATGTGTCATGGTATCAGTATGTATTATGCCACAATTTTCGCATAGGGAATCCCTGTTTTCTAAAGGCAATGAGATCACTTTCGCCACTTTCAAATGATATCAAAGCATATCGTCAACTCTCAAATAGTTTGTTCCATGAAAACTAAAAAAATTGAAATTAGTACTTCCTGCCCGCCGCCTTAAATGCAAAGGTGACGGCCGTAACCTTCCCTTGATACTCACCAGTGATAATGTACATGTAGATCTGACAAGTCTTTACCTTTTGTTCAAACAGGAAGCTTAGAGTTGAATGTGTTTCAGTATTTAATCCTTGTTATCAGAAAGGAATGGAAACATAAGAATTGATCAGAAACAAGTCAAATTCTTTACTTCAGAGAATATTTTTATTTTAGAATTGATCTTTTACAATGTTGAATGGGATTCAACATTTGAATTCCACACAAAAACTTATGGAATCTCAAGCTAATATATTACACTTCATAAATTTTAAGGAATCGTCACCGTACAGCGTGCGTCACCGTACACATTTGATCTTTTTTAAATATATACAGTGAATGGTCATTTGCCAAATCTTCATCTGTTCTAAAATGTGTAGATAACAAACACATATTCTCATTAAAATTATCCATACTCTCAGACGGCAGGGAAAATAATAACCAAACGAAGTGAAAAAATGGGCCGATCCAGTCAGAAAAAATCTGAGCAGTGCTCGAAAATCTTTTATCATAATTAGAAAGTTAAAACCATTTCTAAGAGAATGCTGTTTTTATTACACCCGAAATCGTACTTTTTTTCATCTAATTAATTTTTTTAAAACCCTCATAATAGTTTTTGCTTTAACTCAGTTAATTTTCGACACCGTACAGAAAAGTGTACTACTGTATTTTTTGACGCTGTACGGTGACGCCTGCTTCCGCGATGGTTAGGCGTGATAGTAAATGAATTATAAAAACTTAGTTTAAAACTTGGGGACTTGGGGACACTCTCCGAGATCTACATTTATCGCCAAATCATTAATATATTATGAAATTGTTCTATGTGCGTGGATTCACCGATATCTGAGGTAACAGGGCGTTTGCGATGTGATTCATTTATGAGAGTCCACGTTCATATTGAATCACCTACATGTTGGATGAAGACTATATTTCATTCTAGGAACAACCAATTACCAATTACGATAATCTTCTAAACAAGCATCATGTACATTTATCATTTAAGAACAATTGATGCCTCACAGACAAGTGCTCTGAGATGAAGTGTAATAATTTTGTTTACACGATCATCATCAATATCAAAAATCTAATGCATTACCTATGTTATTACCTATGCCAATGCAGCAAATGTATTCCCAGTGCAAATAGAGATTACTTATTGTAGTATCTATTAAATAATATAAGTGTGAGAGAAAAATTTGCTGTGTAAAGAATATATACTATCAGCATGATCAACATGAAATAAATTGAGGTTATTTTATGGGAGGGGTGGAATATGAATTTTATTTCGAGGGAAATATGATATTGACCAAGGAAAGTATCATATTGACCGAGGGCGACAGCCCGAGAGTTAATATGATATTTTCCGAGGCAAATATCATATTTTATCGAGGAAAAATTCATATTCCATCACCTACGACCATCGATAACCTATTTATTCCATAATATTTTTCTGAAACTTGCTTTGTATGTCGTCACCCAATGATGGGTTTTGAATATCAATTTTATTCCCTGTTATTTTCCCGGGGAAAACATGTTATTATGGAATAAATACAAATAAACACATTACAGCGTGTATTTATTTCAGTATGCATGTATATAGAATACAGGGCGGGCAATTGAATGCATCACATTTTTTGCTTAACTTACGTCTTTGATTTGAAGTTTAACATATGTAGAGAAATTTTCAAATTTTATAATTCCTAATTTTCATGACATTTGGTTAATATCTGCTCTTTTAAATATAACATGTGTAAGTGTTCCATTTTTATTTGCCAACCTTGTATATAATTTTTAAGCAGACACCCTGATTTTGTAGAGTACAAAAAGGTATGCTATTTCACAAGTTGGTCACAATACAGACAAGGACCAGCGAGATTTATTCCTGAGAATATCGACCCGTCTCTTTGCACGCACATCATCTATGCATTCGCTTACATAGACAAAAGAGCAAGTGATTACAGTAAACTGAGAGTGTTTGAACACAACGATGTTTGTAAGCATTACACTACTTACTTTCATGATAAATCATAGCATTTTTCTCTCTCAAAGCAGGAATTCTATGATTCACGAAAATGTCCTGCATAACTTTAGAAAGTTATATATTCCGTAATCAAAACCTTATTGTATAATCATATCCTGAGATAAATCACAGATTCATCGCTATATGTACCAACACACTTTATACTGTACTTAAAGCTGCTGATGACAATTAAAAACCGATCAAATTTTCGATTGAAATTAGGAATTCTATCTCATAAACATCGTTGATTTATCATGCTTTCTCATTCATTCACCCATGATTCAACCTTGAATTCAAGCCCTTGAATAAATCATTGAAAACTTGAAAAAACAATCGTTGAAAAACAACCTGTTTAAATATTACAATGTTATTTTGCTATGCCACTGTCAATGTCCAATGTTCATTATCAATGCACTAAATACAATAGACTAGATGCGAGTAGAAATCATCTTGATTTACGTCCTTAAAAATTACATCTAGAAAAGTGGTTTTGAAAAGAGTTTATTAACTTTGAAAATTACATTTTCTTTGAAAATGTGACTTCTAGGTCGATGAGATTCCTCATACACTGTTGATCCACTCGATTACGCTGGTTACCTCGTGGAACATCGAATGTACGATTTTTCTTTTTTTCTTATTTCACAAGTTGTAGGCAGAATTCCCACATGTTTATCACCTTCGACGTTCCGACATTTTGTTACCGAAACGGCGTAATCGAGCGGATCACCAGTGCAGACCCAACATTGTAAAATCACAAAAAGTGAAACATCTTTTCTTGTGTTGGGCAGATAATATTTTCTTTTAACAGGACATATTTTAATTTGTATTACTATGATACATAAGGGGAATATGAAAAGTGAACCACTAAAACTGATGAATATTCAAGTTTTAGAGAACTGTGTAATACCCTGCCATGTTATTTCCCTCGAATCAACCACCTGGTGGCGAAACTGGTAACTTCCTACTCGCATCTGAGTAATTCAATGATGTTATTTGCTCTTAGATTCTTAGATCAGAGAATAGTGCTTTCTCCAAAAACAACACATCTTGCATGGGGCAGATCCGTAGTAGGTGGGAAAATCAACTTAACGTTAATTTATTACAGCAATGTATCAAAGGATCAACTCTCTAAAACGACGTAATCGCTCACTGAAGACTTTGTTAGCAGTTGGGGGCTGGAACCACGGATCAGGTCCTTTCTCCATTATGGCAAATAATGCAACCAAGCGAAGAAACTTTGTGAAAAACTCCATTGCGTTTTTAAGACGGTATCGCTTTGACGGCCTCGATTTGGATTGGGAGTACCCAGCCCAACGAGACAGTACTAACATAAATACAGATAAAGTTGCCTTTGTGAAACTATGCAAGGTAAGAATGTAGTCCTAGATATGATAGTAAATGAACACTTTCCAAGGACAAGTCGAAGACATAAAACAAAGCAAAATGCATATCATTGGAACAACCAAAGTTTCGTTGAAACAGGCATTATTGGGATCTCGATCAATATAGTAGTTTCAATATAGTTTTGAAATCTCGCTAATTCTCGTCGTTTATCGTGTGATTTTAAGGGACTTGCACTTTAAACCTCTCACGACTAACTTTTCTTTTTGAGTAGCATATTTGAAGTCAGTGAAAAGTTTTCCACAATAATTACTTTGATTTATACAGTTATGTCATTTAAATAATTTTCCATGACCATGACATGAAAAATTTTAGGCCAGATCCCCATTACCGCAATGTAAGATTCTTTAAAACCAAGGTTTATTCGTATGACAACCAAAAACAGCATGATTCATCACAATATGTACATTGACAGGGTTTATTTAGTTTAATCTGTATTATCATCGAAGTGATGAATTCTTAATTGCAAAATTGATTTCTTTTTCAAAAATACATTTCGTAATGCCATCCAATTATCTAAGACATGAATTCAGATTAATTGGCATAATTGATTAAAAAAAAGTCGCAGAATGTGATGCAGTATTACTGAAGGGCAGCTTAACATTGTTTTTCATTAATTAAATAAGATTATCAGTTTAGATAAATATCCTTGTTGAAAAATAATATTGTTTGGTTTGTTAAGACACGCAAGTCTATTTAATCGGTAAAGAATACAAAGGGTGATTTGCATGACATGTACCTACAACATTGTTCCGTTTTCTCCGTTCTATGGATGAATCAAACCAAGTAGTTTTTGGATCATTATCATATGCTTCCTCGTTAGAAGTTTATCTCTTAAATCATTTTTCATTTTCCAATTTTAGCGAGTGACACGTGTTTTTGAAATAAATTCTTCAAGTCTGTTTTAATAAATGATAAAGCACAGATAGCCGTCGCTAATCTATTAAACGCTATATATATTGATGTTGCATGTATAATCATATACATGTATTTAACATGATGTTTTCTCTTGAATAAAGGACCTGAAGAATGGTTTCCAGCGAGAAGCAAGATCATCTAGAAAACCTCGTTTATTACTGGCTGCTGCAGTTGGATGCGGGCCTCGAAACATTCATACATCATACGATGTGCGATCAATGTCAAGGTATGTTTGGTTAGTCAAATAAACTTACCGAGTTTTCCGTCTTTTCAGGAAATGATTAAGTTAGTTCAAATGTCAAAAATTTAGCGACGCCCCCTTCAAGCCTTCACTTTATTATGTGATCTACTTCATTTGATATGACACGTTGTAGGCACTTGGATTTCATTAACTTGATGACGTATGACTTGGCTGGCCAATGGGATGGTAGAACTGGAATCCATGGAGCTCTTCATGGTGCACCTGGTGATGCATCATACGAACTGAATCAGGTATTGTGTAGGATGAATAAAATATTTCTTCATCCTAGGTATTGTTTATAGTTTGCAATTTGCTTATGGAACTTATGATTAAATGGCATCCCGAAATAGTGTAAATTTGAAATCAAATGGTCAAAATATTCTTGTTGAGAATCATATCTTTGCTTATATATCATTCATTGCCATGCCTTTTCTAAAAAATCAAAACTTTTGTTTTTATTTCGATTTCCACAAAACACAACGATTGATAAGGGTGCCCCTTTTAGTTTAAACTCAGCATACCTTCGCTGTGTCATGAATCTCACCGGGTACTACTTGTGACCGTCTAAGGTATTGGATACACGTTACTTTTAAGGAATGGTCGGTAAATAGGTATATCGAACTTGGTGCCCCAAGAAAGAAACTGGTGCTTGGAATTCCTATGTATGGTCGATCATTCAAGTTGACAAGTGGTAGTTCAGATGTCGGTGCACCTGCAGCTTTCTCGGGTGCAATTGCTGGTCCCTACACAGTACAATCTGGTATCATGGCCTATTACGAAGTAGGTTGTATTTTTTCAATGATTTGGAATACAAGTCAAATTTAGCGAATGAAAGCTATATAGAGGTTTTAATCATTTGATAATTTCTGTATAATGTTATTTATATCCCACCCTAAGCAGACTTTATTCCGCAGAAATGGTATGAATAACACGAGGGAACGATGCGGAACCAGTGGTCTTTTACAATCATGTTCATATATGATCGTTGACACTCAATAAAAAGGAAATAGTGGAAATAATTTTGTAATTAATTTCAAGATATCTAAAATATGATCCTCGGCTACTAACCTATAATACCGTGTGATATGTCTCGATGTATCACTTTTAAATAGGTTTGTGCGAAGATCAAAGCAGGTTGGGAGTACAAGTTTGACCCATTGCGGATGGATTCATACAGTTACAACGGCACAGACTGGGTAGGATTCAGTGACAAAACCAGTGTTGCTAAAAAGGTAATTTTACCACAAATGCATTTTTTCCAAAAAGTAGCCCAGGTGCATAAATAGAGATTATCCTATATGAGGTTCAGGATATTGGGATTATCCCGAAGCCAATATAATATATCTGCCCGAGGGCCGTAGGTCCCGAGGGTAGATATATTATATTGGCCAAGGGATAATCCAAATATCCTGAACCGACTATAGGATGATCTGTTTATCCCATACCAATCACATTTTTCAATTGGCCACAGTTCAGAAACTTTGCAACCAACTGTGGAATTATTTTTAAATATTCATGTCCAGTTTTGTATTCTTGTCCGTAGCCGGATTTTCCTGTTCAAATCTTTGATTATTAACGGGGCATACTGCCCCTTCCCTACTTTAAAGCATCAAACAGATCGCGATTGTCTGCGTTTTTGTCCATTGTCGTTTACAATATGCGAGCGTTACAAACAAAGAACCAATACGACGGGAACAGCGATTATGACGTAGCGGGCAGATATACTATATCTGCCCGCTAGGAGCGGGACGTAAAGCTATATCTGCCCGCTGATGAAAATATAAGTTTTTACAAACCGGCTTTATGTACCTGTAACACCTCCAAGTATGGGATAAATAATTGTCTCTGTGCTTGTTTCTGTGTTTTCAAATTATTAAACGGCTGCAAATAGAACTAATACAATTATAAAATACGTGACAAAAACACTATATATTTTTCCATAAATTTGAACATAGGCTGAGTTCATTAAGGCCAAACGTCTTGGTGGTGCCATGATCTGGTCACTTGATTTTGACAATTTTAAAAGAAATGCGTTATGTAACACGGATAAAGAAGATTTCACCTTATTGAAAACGATCAATAAGGTCTTAGATGGAATAGTTGAAACAACCACTGCAGCAACTGTAACCACAACAACAGAGCCAGAAGACGTTGGTAAGTGTGTTCATAATATTTATCTTCAAAGTGTTTAAGGTATATCCTAACTGGACTACCAAAGAGTGTTACAAAACACAACAAGATAAGGGAATATCGGGGGAGTGTCTAAAGTACAAGTATTATACAAATAGTGACTGCCATTGAGGGCAATAGTGTAAATTATTTCCCCGAGGGAATATCCTCTACGATGTACTATTCCTGAAGCCGCAGGCTGAGGGAATAGTACATTGTAGAGGATATTCCCAAGGGGAAATCATTTACACTATTGCTCGAAATTAGGCAGTCACTATTTGTTTTATTATATATCCTATGCTGACTCTTGTCCCGTTTCCTCTGCGAAGGCCAAAAAGGCTTAGAAAGCCCCCTCCCCGGGTCCATTGTTAGCATTATAAGCTGTGACGTCATCAGATGCTCAACAGAAATTTTTGCCTCTGAGACTCTCACTTGACAAATTCAATCGCGTTTAACACGCGGAATAGATTATCATAACACTCGAAATTACACAGACGTATTGAGCTTAGGGAACTTTATACACGTTGCTTATATTGTATCGTTCACGCACGTCTGTCATGGTGAACGGAGTTGATTTGTGTTTGTGCTCATCCTCCATTTTTCTGTTTTTCGTCTGCGCAGTGATGATGCGCAGACGTTTCCAAGGGTAATAGAAGTTGCAATCGTGACGTCAGCGGGCAATAGTTCAAATGTATATTCCCGCTGACGTCACATTTGAGGGAATATAACTTTCCGAGGGAAATAGTAAATCTATTTCGGAACACGTGACTAGGTATTGACCAATCAGGATTAGTGTTACATATTGGGTATATAATAAAATGTAATAATTGGGGAAAAACTCAATATATCAAACTTTGCTCTGAATTCTTTGCACCACCCGACCCTCCGCTCCATTCAGGAATAATTATCACAATCTAAATCCACGAGACAATGGGGCATTTTATTCATTTCGAACTCAAAACAAATCGTAGGGGTAAGGATGTTAATCTTCATCTCCAGAACTCAAAAAGGTGTGCTATTATACAAGTTGGTCACAGTACAGAAAGGGAGCTGGACGGTTTCTGCCTGAGGATATTGACCCATCTCTATGCACCCATATCATTTATGCATTCGCTTACGTGGACACCAGGATAAACTCTTACAGTTATAGTGGACTGAAGGCCTATGAATACAATGATGTTCGTAAGTATAAAAATGTCGATTCAAGGATTTCTACAATTAACGTGAGTCAACATTTGGAGTTCAATGAGTGGCCTATTTTTTACAATTTTGAGTTTCATGAATTGAAAATATTTTAAAAAGTACATCTTCCGATCACAGGGCTTCAAAATCCAGAATATCTTCTTTCTTTTTACCCCCTGCGATAAGCAGTTAGCATTTCCCCGATTAAGAACTCGCAATTTGATTCGCTGTCGCAACATTGCGACAGCAATCAAGTTTACGTCATCGGCGTATAGTTAGATCACGTGATTCAGTTTTATCGGGCGCTTCCAAAGTGGTTATAGCAGGGGGAAGAAGGAGGTACGGATTCTTGACACCTGCTTAAGAGGATGAAAAAGTAAGATTATGGTAAGATTTAAGCATATTTTCAAAGATCTAAACTTAGGCAATGGCCAATATGTTCTTTCAGATTTTAGGGAACATAAAACATTAAATTCCTATTTTTCACTATCATTTGTTCTCATTGAATTGTAGAAATGTATGAGAGTATTAACGCCCTGAAGAAACAAAATCCTTCACTGAAAACATTGTTAGCAGTGGGGGGCTGGAACCATGGATCTAAACCATTCTCCTATATGGCTAACAGAATGGCCAATCGCAAGAATTTTGTGACAAATTCTATCAAGTATTTGAAACGGTATGGCTTTGATGGGTTATCTTTGGATTGGGCATATCCAGGACAACGAGATTCAAACAGCAGTACTGATAAAGCCGCTTTTGTAGAACTATGCAAGGTATGAATAAAAAAGTTTCATTTTTGAATATTTTAAGAGTATAACACTGCAAACATTTCTCAGGGTTGATTGAACATATCAACCTTAATTCACCCTTGAATTTCCCCAAGTATTACTTTAACCATGATTGTGTGTTTTCAATAATTATCAAATTATAAAGTATGTAGTCACCCTCCTTACTTAATCATTTGCAAATTGCAAAATGTCAGTTTTGGAAAGGTAATATCAATTTAAAATATTTTTCCTTAATCAAGGACATGAAAGCTGGCTTCGAGAAAGAAGCAAAATCCTCTGCTGGACCTCGCTTGATATTGACTGCCGCAGTTGGATGTGGACCTAAGAATATTGAAACATCATATGATGTACCTGGAATATCTAGGTATGTAGCTTTGTTTTAAAACAAACCCCAAATATCCTAAACTATGATCTTCAGTTTTGCATTGTATAATCCAGATTGTTATTTGTGATATAACATATCACTTTTGTAGGTATCTCGATTTCATTAACTTGATGGCTTATGACTTAGCTGGCCAGTTTAGAACAGGGATCCATGGAGCTCTTCACAGTGGACAAGGGGATGCATCGCTCGAGCTGAATCAGGTATTGCCTTGGCCTGTGAAATAGAAATAGAACATTTTTCGATGTTTTTCATTTTCCAGGGTTTCCATACATTTATAAAGTGACCTTGTTCGATTGATTAATAGTACAAAAACGTCATTTCGAAGGACAATATGGTGAAGTTTTGGACCGAGCGCCGTTACCACCGTTAATGACCAGGACAGAAACAACGAGAAAATCTTACACACTGAACGATATCTAATTTCACGGGAAAAATTGCTGGTCAAGAATGCAATTAATTCATATTGCTCAGGTCGATATAGTAAAATAAATACCTTCTAAACTAACACTAAAACCCCTAGAACTGTCCCGGGAAGGTGGTAATAATAATACGTATTCGGTGCTCTTAAAAACACCGATCCAGATTTAAATTGAAAATGAATATTGACATTAAAATACAAATAGCATCCTTTCAGGAATGGTCTGTAAAAAAGTTTATCGAATTGGGTGCACCTAAGAAAAAGCTGGTGTTGGGAATTCCTTTGTTTGGTAGATCGTACAAGTTGAGAACTGCAAATTCAGCTATCGGTGCTCCTGCGACTACAAAGGGTGCTATCGGTGGCCCTTACACAGTGGAACCTGGTTTTATGGCATATTACGAAGTAAGTTAATTTCCTAACAAACAAATATTCAGTGCCTTATTGCCAAGTGCATGTTGTTGTTGTTTTCTATTCATTCCTCAATCTGTGCATTAATATTGTCTTTTAGCTCATTAGCCAATCAAAATCAACGTTTCGTTGAAGTAGCCCAATTAACATCTAGAATATCATGAATATAAAACGCGCGTCTAAAAACGCAACAAACCATTGGTACCTGTTACACTGCTGGGTTGAGTCTAACGAAGCATTTTTGTAACGAAGGTTAGCGAAAAAATTGTGTCCACACTGGCTTTATCCAACCCTAACGAAGCAATTATTTGGTGTTACACTGCACTTAAAATGCTTCGTTGCGCGTGCGCATTACTCATCTGCCCCACCCACTTATTATGATTAATATTTCTATTCTTTTGATATAAACCATTGATCAAACTCAAAAATCTAATTTTTAATCTTTATTTTAACAAATCAGCACAGAAAAAGACTAGTTCAAAATTCTCGGGAAAATAAAACAAGATGAATGTGATCATTCCGTACACTTGTCCATACATTTTCCCTATCATTTCGATTTTTATATATTTCAGCTGTCAATACGATTACAAGTATTGTTTTCATTTTCTATCATTTCCTTTGGAAAACATGTGGAATAAAAATAGGCCTATGTTAATTACTAGGAGGAATTGGATTTGGGGTTTATTCAGACGACTAGTATGTAATATCGTATAAAAATGTTCAATTTCCAAATAGACTTCTCAGTTATATTTCAAATAGTGTAGCCATTACTAAAATATCTCGGTGTTCGGCTGGTGGTTTAACTCACGCGGTCCTAACTTCGATCGTTAATTTGAATTTTCGACCTACCAGATGTGAAAATCAAGGATTGCGAGTCTCATACTGCACCGTTTTTCTTCAAACCTATACCATTAAAAGCAAAACAAAATTCCCTTTCTGTCGGTGCATTACTTTATTGTAAAGAGTCCCTCATTCTAGCAGCGTTTTGGTCCCCAGTTGTTAGAAGGCCTTCTTACAGCTGGGGACCAAAATGCCGCTGGAAGTAGGGACTCTGTTTAAGAGAATAATGTACCATCAGAAAGGGATTTTTGTTATGCTTTGAATGGAACAAGTTTGAAGAAAAACGGTGCAGTATGAGACTCGTAATCCTTGATTTTCAAACATCCGGTAGGTCAAAAATTCAAATTAACGGTCGAAGTTAAGACCGCGTGTAACTACTATTTCATGACCAATTCATTTTAATATGAATATTACCCGTCTCGCCAATACTCCATGCATATTTGAGTGAGTTTGACATAAATTAGTATGTTAATCCATAAGCCGTCTGTTGAATTCGAAAATGGCGCAAATAGGAAGAAACTTGAATATCAGTTGTAAGCATCGTCTTACGACACATCAATAGTGTTTGGGGCTGGCCTTAAACATGCAGCCTCTCTGTGGCAAATATCTGTCGACAAGAAACAGTTTTGGCCACCGTTCCTTGTCCGCAGGTTTTACGGAAGTTTTACGGAAGTTTTGAAACGTAATTAATTCAATATATTTAAACATGAAGTTTAAATTCAATTACAATTTAAAATCGTCGAAGAATAAAATAATGGAACGACTATTTTCGAATCAATCAAATCGGCTATATTCCCTGATGTTTTTTTTTTTTTTTTTTTTTTTTTTTATAAGAATTTATTCATTCAAACTTATTAGCAAATACATAATTCCAATCGCCCGAAGGCATTATAGGAAAGATGGACATTTAAACAATATATATTAATACATATAATAAATCATAATAGTACACTATACAACAGGTTAAAGGGGATGCACTTGTAGGGTGGGGATAGGGGAGGGGTGTTTGGAGGGGAGACTAAACAGGTTCACTTTAGGAGGGAATTCAGATATTGGCAGAAATAAAATCAGCCACTTTGGACAAGAGTTGCGAATTTGTTTCTAAAGGTAGATCAGGATCTCCATAATAGAATAAAGAAAGTAAATCAGCTTGATTTTTATGTTTATTAAAGGCTCCTGGTGCAATCAATTCAATGTCATTTTTTAATGTTTGAAAATTCAATTCATTATTTGGACATTTCAGAAAAAAGTGCTTTGGCGTACTGGTAGCTCCACATGAGCAATTTGGGCCATCAATAAAGGTAAAGTTATGGGCGTATAGTTGAGCCCTAAAAAGTAAATCAGCTCTAAGTCTGTTTATGATTATTTCTTGTTTTCTTGTCAAATTAAGAAAGGTAGATGGTAGAGTGAGTTTTTTGGGAGCAAAATAAGTTTTTTGATATTTTTTGAAAGTCTGAAGTGTCTTCTTTTCCCTGATATATGATGGCAGCATTGACCATGAACTGATTGCACCTAGGACTGCCGACTCCAAGAATCTGTTGCTACAGCGGATAGGTAGCTTGAAGTCAAAAGTGTTACGATTAGTTCTAATGCTTTTATTTTTGTACTTCTCAAAGATCTCATTTAGATATACAGGATTTGTTCCATTGACAACCTTGTACATATTCCCTGATGTGATTCACCGGGAAGCAATTGTATCAGTATCATGGTATTAACACCTTTAGAACACGGGCTTTAGAATTACATTCAAGGTATAATTATTCGAGGCGCAAGAAAAAATTAATATTAAACATGTATGCCACAACTTTCTATTTAGTAAGCATATCTTATGTAATTTCAAAAGTTTACCCTTCCACACTTGAGACGGAGTTTGCCGAAAGAGGGACATTTAAATATTCTAGGTTTATTCTCTAATAGATCAGATAAACGTTTCAAAACTACCGTATACATATACGGTAAAACCTGCGTTTTTTAGATTTAATACTTTTTGTCATATCAATGCGAGGAAAGGCAGGGAATCGAATGAAATGCTACGAAAGACGGTAAATCACATTTGTACGTGGCGTTTAGGGCTTGAGTTAGCGTCAATCAGTGACGCAAATAGGTAATTATTTTAATCAAAACGTAGCATTATAATAATACGTACTTAAAAACATGCTCTTTCCTCGCGATTCCTCTCATTTAATACAAAATGATGAATGTGCTCTTTATTACGCGCATGCGCAAACCGCCAACTAAGCATTTTCTAACGAAGCTACCTGTTACACAGGCCAAAAAAGCTTCGTTGGGAGCTAACCTTCGTTGAATTTTCTACTCAATTGCTTCGTTATCAACTAAGCTTTTCCAACGAAGGCGGAGGTGTTACACTGGCCCAAAATTGCTTCGTTACGAAGCTTTTTGTCAAATTGCTTCGTAACGAAGCATTTCAACTGGCCTGTGTAACAGGGGTCATTAACTCGTTATACCAAAAAAAACATTCATCATTTCCTTCAATGAACCAGTAAGTAACTTCCCTACTCTTTGCAATACTATTACTATTCGCAATAGTATGTTATTGGTTCACATCGTGTCATGGGTGACCGGATAAGCTATCGTTTTACATAGTAGGCAAGAATCTGCCCAAGACCAAGTGAAATACAATTGTAAAAATCAGTGCTGATGGTAAGGCACATCCTTCTTCAAAGGACTTCATGTAAATTAATGGAAAGAAGTGGAATACCCACGTGTAGGACATAGACCAATCAGAGAGTGAAGAATATGACAGTGATATGATAATACTTGTCGCTTGACTTGAATAAAAAAGTTTTCTAAGAATACCATATTTCTCATATTACTAGGTTTGTGCCAAACTTAAAGCAGGTTGGAGGTATAAGTTTGATTCGCAGCGTGGAGACCCGTATGCTTATTCTGGTTATAACTGGGTAGGATTTAGTGACAAGACCAGTGTAGCAAAGAAGGTAATCATTACACAAATATAAAGCCTCTGACCTACATTCACAAATATGCCTGGAAAAAGCTTTTCAATAATGCTCCATATACCACTGTCTCAAATCAGGGAAAAATTCCCATATGTGCGAACAAATTTCACGAAGTAAAATCTTATATTATATATTGCATACACGTACGTATGTCCAATAATGTAAATTAAATATATTTCTTGTTAAGGCTGAATTCATCATAGATGAAGACCTTGGTGGTGCCATGATATGGGCCCTCGATCTGGACAATTTTAACAAAGATTCATTGTGCAACACGGATACAGAGGATTTCCCACTGTTAAAAACCATTAATAAAGTCTTTGACACTGCAGGTATATACACAACAACAATATCATTATGCAAGTGGATCTCAGTTAATCAAAAACATTTTCATTTTTATTTTAACAACATAATTTGTTATTTGAAATCCTACCTCTCTTTCAGTACCACACCAAAATAGCTATGAACCATGGTAATGAATATAAAAACTAGATAGTGTGCTAGGTAATCAGTATTAAGAATCGTACAAATTCTTATGGGATCAGCTGAATCAGCACAAAAAAACATACTAGCTGGATACTTTGTCTGAACGCTTTAACATAATCGAACGCATTTTACAGATCAACGGAAGTTGTTCAAATGTCCATCCACACCAGTTTATCGCAAGTACCAGACCTCTGATTGTACAAAGTACGTTACTTGTCTTAATGGGGAAAACTATGGAACCAAGCCCTGCAGGAGTGGTCTACTTTTCTCCGAGTCCAAACAACGATGTATTAGCAAAACCTATGTCAAATGTGGTAATAATCCATTGTATTCTTTATACATTTTTTTTATTGCATCTTTCTTACACAAAACATTATACATAATATACATACAGATCAAATCCATATACATTGAATATTCAATAATATTATTACATATTTATATTTAACAATTATACGTTTTTACGCTTTTCAGACCATCTCCATTCAGAGTATTTAATTTAACTTAATTTAAAAGGGTACCATTTGAAATACAATACATGCAATACGATTATCTTTCAATCGTATTGGGCTGACAATATTTTAATATAAAGGGTATAAAATAAAACAAAAAATTCAATGCTGTTGGTTTAATCTATCTATAACCCATCTCCAAGTCTCGCCGAAACTTTCCAGTGTGCCATTTAAGTTTGCAATATTTCGTTCGTCATTGATTTTGTATTTTATGATTTCTTTTATTTGCATAAATGTTATTTTACTATTAATGAGTCTTGATTTATGTATTAAGCTTTTTATATACAATATACAAAAATTAATTGCTTTTGAAGTGTGGTCCCGTTCTTGATCTAATTTCCCGACAATTATGTCTTTAATTGTAAGATTAATATTGAAAAAAATTTTAAAGTCATCCCAAATCTTGGCAGAGTTTGGGCACTCTATGAAGAAGTGTATCGTATCATCTATTTTATTTTATCGTTTTTACAAAAGTCGCATAAATTTGAATTTTTTATTTTCTTTCGAGTTAAAAAAGTGGTTATTTGGTGTAACGTTTAAAACAAGTTTGTATTGAAGGCATTGTATTCTCGGTTCTCGAACCGTCTTAAAAGGTAATGTAAAAATGTGTTTCCAATCTTCTTCTGTAAAGTTGAATTTTGAATTTAGATATTTTTTCCCGTTGGGTTCTTTAAATAAATTATCTACGAGAATCCAATATATGGTTTTAGTTGTTATAGATTTGACGTTTATTGTCGTGTTTTTGATTTGGAGTTCTTCGTCTTTAAGTGCCTTGTTGCTTCGATTGTTTTTAATATGTTGTTTCCAGGAGTGTGGAATTGCATGAATTAAGCCATAGAAAGTAACGAAAGGTGTATTAATATTATATTTCAAAGAGAAATCTTCGAAACCTAAGAATTCATTATTGTTAACGAGATCTTTTATTTGAAGGATTCCTTTACCTATCCAGCTTGCATAATTTAGGGTTTTGTCGTTAATTTTTATGAACTCATTATTCCAGATATACTCTTTTAAAGCAAGTTCTTTATTATAGGGCTCTTTATTATGTAATAATTTCCAGGTTTCCATGATATTATAGTAGAAAGGGGGTAACCTGGCTAACTTGTCATCGGGAAATTTTGAATGAAATATTGTGTCCGAGTCTAGATTAGGAAAAAAGCTGTAGAAATATTGCTTCCATTTGCTAGGCTTCTTCTGGTATAATCTTTTTACCCATTGTATTTGTAAAGCTTTTATTTGCGTTTCAAAATGTAAGCTCTTGATTCCCCCTTTTTCAATTTTTCCTATGGTTGTTAAATTACTTATTAATGGAGGTTTTCTGTTCCATAAAAAGTTATTAATGAGATTTTGAACATTATTAATGATGTGTTTTGGTACAAGTATGGCTGATGCTAGATATGTTAGTTTTGAAATCCCTAGAGCTTTGATCAACACGTTTTTTCCTATTAAGCTAAGGTTCCTCCATTCCCATATTTTAAATAAGTTTTCTATAGATTTAATCTTAGGAGAGAAGTTAAGGTCATTCCGTTCGTTTATATTTTGACTAAACCATACTCCAAGGGTGTAAAAATTTTCATTATTGATTTTAATTTTTGAGACGAGACTTTTTGGTGCAATTTGTGGGGGTGATGTTTTAAAGAGACCTAACCATCTTCCTTCTGTTTTCTGAAGGTTGGGCTTGAGGCCAGAAATTTCAGAGAATCTTTTTAGAATCTGAAGGGCATTTTCAGTTGATGCAATTGAATCTAGGAAAAAAGTTGTATCGTCCGCAAACATTGAAAGTTTAATCTCAGTATTATTCAAAATAATGCCTTGAATATTTATATTTTGTCTCTAGATAAAGCTAGTATTTCCGCCACTATTATGAAAAGGTATGCCGATAGGGGGCATCCTTGTCGGACTCCCCTAGAAGGTGAAAACATAGTCGATTGGTATCCGTTGTTTGGATATACACGTTTGAGCGTTTTTGTAAAAAGTTTTTACCCATTTGATCAATGTATTACCAAAATTGAATAAATTAAGAGCTTTCTCGATGAAATTCCAGTTAACGGAATAGAAGGCTTTCTCAAAATCGATTTGAAGGAGTATTCCGTGGATGTTACCTTGGTCTGTGTATTCTAAAATATCTTCTATAATTCTAATGTTTTCCCCTATGTATCGATCTGTTACATATGCAGATTGGTCGGTATTTATTATGGATGTTAAGGTTTTCCGTATTCTGTTAGCAATTGATTTGGTGCCTATTTTATAGTCGGTGTTTAAAAGGGTAATTGGTCTCCAATTTTTGAGGAATAATCTAATTTTATCTTTTTTTGGAATTAAGGTGACAACTCCTTGTTTTTGTGAGATAGAGAGTTCTCCAGACTCAAAGCCATAATTCAAACTATCGACAACTAGATCTTTAATATTAATCCAGAAAAACTTGTAAAAAGTTAGTTGTGAAACCATCAGTACCAGGAGACTTATCATTTGGCATATTTTTGAGAGATCGAGCACATTCTTCAATCGTTAACAAGCCCTCGCAAGACACCTTTTCATCTTCAGTTAACTTTGGAATATTCAATTGTTCAACAAAAATATCTATGTTTGGCGGTAGGTCTTCATTATTTAACCTTTCAGTGTACAAATTTTCGTAATATCTTTTTTGTTCATTTAAGATTTCTTTAGGGTCGTTTATGATTGTACCATTTTCAGTTTGTAGTTTTTGAATGGTTTTGTTGATGTAGTTGCGGTGTTCTAAAGTAAGGAAAAATTTGCTGTTTATTATGTATTCTTTATACATGTAGCACCTTTCTTGGTACCCCATTTTCACTTGGTACCCCATTTTTTTAAATCGCGTTCCTTGAAGGAACTGGTCAATAGAATTATAAAATGGAATATGTTTTGCAATATTTATTACAATTATTTATACTTTATACTTATGGGTTATTACTGGACAACGAATACCTTTTGTGTTTGCGCATTGTAAGCGTGTTGAAATGCTGCACTTTTGAAACTTCCCATTTACAGTAGCATACCAATGTTTAAACCCTTACAAAAATGAATGACATTAATGTGACATTAATATATTTTGCTCGTGCATGTATTGTCAATATCTCATGCAATAAACTGACGATTTGAACTAACTTATATTTAATTCATATCTGCCATCATGTGTAGCATTATCTGTAACAAACCACGTGATTTAAAGATGTGTCCTGTTCAAATGACAATATTGCAGCTGACCTTGAAGGTAAAGCTCTTGAGCCGATCTCGAGGGTAATGATTTCTGCAAATCAATAGAGAGCACGAATAGAGAATTTTATTTAACATGTTTCTAATACAAAAAGTTGAACTTGAATATTCAATACATTTATTTCCCTTAATCGAACAATTATGTTTGGGTGGACTTATTAAAGGACGGCAGGTGTTATGTGTGAAAATGTCTTTTAAAGTTAAAAGAACATCATACAATCAGAAATGTATTTGTCAAATTCTGATAAAAGCCCTAAAACACTCGATGTTTTGATTTTTGTCAATTTAAAGTCCCAATTAATATACTTCTTCTACATTAAATAATTTTAACTTACTTTTTGCGCATCATGGGAAATCTTTCGATTCAGGAACTTACGAACAAAGTTATTCCTCCAATGTCTAAAATACATTTAACATAACACTTGTTGTCTTTTAATACATTTGGGTTCTTAAAAACTTTGAATTAATCTCTCCATAAGTTTGGCAACTGAAAGTCCTATTTTGGATGACTCATCCAAGCCGTTGATCATTGTCGATTAGGAAATATTCATCAAATTTGTCAAACATTTTCAAGCTATTGTACATGGTGTTCCAAAGGTAACAAGGCTGGTGCTGGCATTCTGTCAATTCTGCACCGAGTGTCTTCAAATTTTCACAAATTGTAATAAACTACAATGCAACTAAAATTGTTAAGTCTCGAAAATAAATTATTAAATGCGGGTAAAGTTGTGGCTACTATAGTAACATGACATCACAATACCCGGGGCAACTTTTTCATGAAAATGTGTTATCCAATATTTTTGTATTACTGAAGATAGTATCTAATTCACCTATTACAATACAACATTTCTTGTTAGTTTTTAGTTGCTTTGTTGTAATGGTGTTGCTATAAAACTCAGGTTCAAGTATGATTTCATAATAATAATGATATTTTTCTCAATTTCCGGGAATATGACTATGTATAGCAGTTTGCAAAATTCACGGTTGAGTTCTTGAAAAGACCCAATTTGAAGCCAGTCATCCACCTTGATAACGCGCCTGTCCGCAAGTGAGCATTAAAGACAACTACAGCTATAGAGAGGCAAGGTATTGAGGTCTAAGACCATGCATCATACTTTTCTGATCATGCAATATCAAATTTTTACTTGTATGGAGAATGGAATGCTAATCTTCACGGTAAGACCATTTAAAGATGAGAATGGCCTTCTCCAAGCTGTCCAATTGATCCTGCGTGACATGTCATTAAATGGGTTCACTCATGTGTTTGAGTCATGGATACAGAGTGCTACTCTTGTACTGACAAAAGAGGAGCCTACTTTTCAAAGTAGAGGATACATAGAAATATCAAATGATGTAAAGCAAATGCAATCCCGACCAGTTGTTGCATTTCAACTTTGATATGGGATATACAAAATTGTTAAAGTCTCTGTACCTTTTTGCATGCAATGTTGCCCAGGGTATTGTGATGTCGTGTTCCCGTAGCAACCATAACCCTACCCGAGTTTCATAATTTCTGTCGAAACGTTGCTGTTTTAATTAGGATACATGAAAGTACATTCTGGGAAATTTTAAAGACGATTGATGCATATTGAACAAAATACCAGAACCAGCCCTGTTACTTTTGGAACAGCCTGTAATCAATATATGAAATTGAGATTCAAACGTTGACATTCGTTGATATGATATCGAATGAAAACTTCAAATTGCCAAACCTATGGAGGGGAGCGTAAAAGACCTTTGGAATTGACTATAAACAGAAACAAGGTATGAAGTAAAATAACTCTTTGTAATAAAGTCAACATTGAATTGCAGAAATTATAACTTTGAAATGCCACCCTCTAACCTTGGCATATTTCACGTGGATATTGCATGTCAACAATTTGATACTATTTACATATATGTCCAAATAAATCAAATCAAAGAGGAAACAGTAAAGTATACTTGTTTAAAGCCACCCAGGAGTTGTCAAATTCCAATGAAGGAACAAGTTCTTTAAATCGATAAGCAATTCAAAACTATTAATTTCTATATTTTTCAAACACTGTATTAAAAAATGTTCCATTGTAATTCAAAATATGATGTTAATATGCTGCAGTCTTTTTAGGCAAAGCGTGGGAATCGCTTGTCCCGTGTGGTGAAAAGAACTTTGGATCAACTGTAAATAAACCAATATATAGAAATAAACAATTAGAATTGAGTATTCAATTCCCGGTTGTTAATGAAAAAATATCATTGCATCAAATTTGGATTTTATTGTTGCAGATGATACCACAACTGTCAAACCAACTGTCACAACAGTTCCGCCAACCCCGTCCACGAAAGGTAACTGTTAGTTTTGCTGCTAGCCTTTATTTAAAGGTACCACACAGAGTGGGCTAAAATCGTCCCTATTTTTATTGAGCGATTAGCTTTTAAATAACTATTACGGATTTTCACCTTCGCAGAACTCAAGTAGTTATAAGTAAAATAAAACAAAACCCCAAGTTATCTAATGTATATTAAAATGCAATCGTATCTTGATTTTATTGTTTCAGCCTTTACTTCACCAACTACCACTACGGTCTCACCAATTACAGCAACCCAGGCAAAAGAAGGTATGTTTTGTGACAAATGAAAAATTCAAGGTGGCAACCTAAATATTTTGAATATTGATCTCAATGAATTCCGACCTTTATGAACACATTTGCCAAATCATTTTTAACTTAAAATTCCGACCTCATGTTTTACAGATAGACATCAACGAAAATCAAGTGAAGTTTTCAAATGTCCATCCGGACCATCTGCACCAGTTTACAGAATGTACCAAGATCCTAAAGACTGTACTAAGTTCATAACTTGCCTCAGTGGCACAAACTTTGGTACCCAGTCTTGTCCGAGTAGTTTATTGTTTTCCGAGCCTAAGCAACTGTGTGATAACAAAGAAAATGTCAAGTGTGGTGAGAAATTGTTGACGTAGCAAAATATAGATAGCGTTTGGTACATCGGGTGTCCAAAAAGTGAATCGCTTTTTGACACGCATTTTCTCAGGAATTAACTTTTTTGGTACACCCGATATATGAACATGTTATTTTAACTATATGTATACTACCATTTGTAATATGTTACTGTCTGCATTTGGTTTTTCATCAAACAATGCTGACATCATGTGTATCACTATATCATTCTTCTTGTATTTCAGTGTGAAATGGATTCCTGGAACGGATACTTCGATGTGATGGATTTTTGTTATATATGTATGTCTTCCATGTAAAATAAAAATGAAATAACAATGTTGAAGCTTTGTACAATTATCTTCTTTTTTGTTATCCACCCAATGACCAAACAGTATATCCAGATAACCATAATACCTTTTAAATGAGGGAAGTTTTACTTTAATATTTTCCCTTTAGCAAAGCTGATCGTTTTATATTCCGCACAGTATGAATATTTCATTGGGGATACCCTGAACAGTAAACTTGGTGGAAGATTCAGTTTCATATTCCAGATCTTAAGATTTTATAAATTTAATATTTAAGCATAGATGCCAAAGGGAAATGATTAAAGATTGTATAGAGCACAGCAAGAAAAGGAAAAGTTTAAGTTTACTGTAGTCATATAAAGGAAAACAAAACCCAACTGTCTCAAACAAACGCATCCTCCGATCACAGGGCTTCAAAATCCAGAATATCTTAAACGGATTCTGGACACCTGCTTAGGAGGATGAAACAAATGTAGATTTGACCATGTTTTTAATCTCTGACCTCAGCATTGAAAATACATACATTGATTGAACATCTTGAAATTGACCTAAATGAGACCATAACTGTATCATGCATCACCCAATGAATACTACCTAAATAGAACCATTCAATAGTATTCACCATAATAGAGAATGTTATTCAAATATATAAAGGGCATTGTATGTCTGGACCACTCTGTTTATCTCGTTCAAAAGAAAGTTCTTTCGGCTTTTCGCTTGGATATATAGTGACTCTATGTTGAAGTTCCTCCACAGTGTGCCGATTAAGCAATTAATGTAGAAGACCTTTTAGATGATTGGGGGTAAAGCGAAATTAAAGGTAAGTTGTCGAAAGAAAGAAATAATCTTATTTGTAATTTTGAAATATATATTGTTTTAAGAGCACAACTTTTAATTTATTTTTGGAAATACAAATGCCAAAAATAATTTCATATTTTTCTATTTTTTCATTTCTTGTATCTTTTAATTTTTTACGTGTACCATTTTATAATCCCTAGTAGAAGTTTTTATGATTAACTAAAAATTTAAGATACCAGGAGTATGTCTACATTCATTACATAAAATTTCGTTAAAACATTTCAAAAATTCAATGGTTTTTCTGTCATAAAATATATTTTAGTAGAAGTGCTCTCATTTTAGCAATAGGAGCGTAACCAGAAACCAGGTAGATAATACTTTGAGCTTCCTATGTTCGTCACTCAAGTTGTTCTCTGTTTTTAGATGCCCGGTCTCAATGCGGTTTTTGTTGTAGTGACGATGATCATCTTCGGGGTCAACTCTGAAGGTAAGGACTGACTTAATCATTTATACGGTTCTGACAAATTATAAAAGCTCCATTTAATTGAAAACACGGTATCATGGATTAATGAATTTAACGCTGAGAATCTCAAAGACAATGAATTAATGCTCTCTTTCATTCTCCTGTAGGATACAAAAAGGTGTGCTATTACACAAGTTGGGCACAGTACAGGCAAGGAGCAGCGATCTTTGTACCTGAGAATATTGACCCATCTCTGTGCACGCATATTATCTTTGCATTCGCTTACCTGGACAACAGACCTAATGATGACAGTACACTGAAGATCTATGAACACAATGACGTCGGTGAGCATTTACTATATTTTACCAAATTTAAAACTGAACTATTGTCCTGAAATAAAGTCAAAACTGTCTTTTTAGAAAATAGGCATGACATGGAATGGTGAGAACAAATAATAATTTGTGTTTCGTTTTGAAACTTCCTCTCAACGTTTCTCTATCATTTCTAGTGCCTACAAATTTTAATCTCTACAGAGAGAAAAATATAATTACTTTGACTTTATCGAAGAAATGTATGGAAGAATTAACGCCCTGAAGCAACAAAATCCCACATTGAAGACATTAATAGCAGTTGGGGGCTGGAGCCATGGATCTAAACTTTTCTCCGATATGGCTAACAGCGTAGACAAGAGAACGAATTTTGTGACGAATTCCATTGCGTATTTGAAACAGCATGGCTTTGATGGGTTAGACTTGGATTGGGAGTACCCAGCACAACGCGATAGTTCTAACCCAGGAACAGATAAAGCTGCTTTTGTTGAACTATGCAAGGTAAAAAAGTTCCTGGTTCAATGTTGAATTACGGTTTGCATGTTAGCATTGTCCAAGATCGATGAGGTGTACTTCTATGAATATTTACAATGTTCAAGTCTGAAGTCGACATCTCTCTTTATTTTCTTTAAAGAAGACATAAACAGGTGATAGTTCCGAGGTAGTTGCATGAAAGTTACACTTATACTATTTAAACGAATAACTGGTAAATTGTGGTCCATCTATATTGGATTGAAACGTAAACATAATTCATAACTATATTTACTCGGAATAGGTCTATAAAGATCGTCCATGATGTGTATACTATATCAAACATTTTTCAATTCCCTATTTTACCTAATGTATAAAGGATTTGAGGGCTGGTTTCGAGCAGGAGGCGGCATCATCCGGTCAACCTCGCTTATTGTTGACTGCAGCGGTTGGATGTGGACCAAAGAATATTGATACATCATACGATGTACTTGAGATATCCAAGTATGTAAATATAACAATAAATCAAACGATACATGTAGTATGATATCAGTAAAAAATTATGCTCATATAAAATGTATTGTTTCATGTTGTAAAGTTAATATGTTTTCAGAGTGGTTTCTATGAATATAAATGTTGTAGGCATCTTGATTTCATTAACTTGATGACGTACGACTTAGCTGGCCAATGGGATGGCAAGACGGGAATCATTGAGCTCTCCATGGTGGACCCGGTGATACAACTGGGCTGAATCAGGTTGCAATGTTTGGAATATTTTATTGGGTTCATCTGATTTATAATATTATTCAAATAAATAAAATCATAATTAATGAAAGCTTACAACCATAATTATGAAGTATACGATACGGATGTATTGTACGTTATTCAAATTATACTCTTCTTTGGACAGCACCCGTTGTCTTGTCCCTTATGTTGAGGACGATTTCTTTTTAGGAGTGGTCGGTGAATAGGTTTATTGAACTGGGTGCACCTAAAGAAAAGCTGGTACTTGGAATTCCAACGTATGGGCGAGGATTCAAGCTAACAACTTCGAATAAAGCTGTCGGTGCCCCTGCAGCTACTTCAGGAGCTCTTGCTGGTCCTGATACAAATGAAGCTGGCTATCTGGCATATTACGAAGTATGTTCTCCTTTGTATTCCGGGGTTACTCAAGATAGTCTCAAAGTGCAATGTTCTCAAACTTGTTAGCTAAACAGAAGTGAGTGTGATGGGCTAGATTCGTTTGATGATATCGAGTTTTAATTTATTTAATTCTGGATTAATAAAATGTCCGATCGTGTTCTTGTCATGGCTTGAGTTTCTGAATGTAAGAGAAAGAAGTTTGGTCATAAGTTCCGGGGATTTGTTTTCCTTATGACTGACTGGCACTGTGTTCTTCTTGTGTTTCGGATCTCGGTCTTCTTCCCGTTGGTACATGTGCTTACATATCTTATATATATGTGCCCTCTTTCTTCCTTTGGTACATGTGCTTACATATTTCATAGATATGTGCCCTCTGTCTTCTTCCCTTTGGTACATGTGCTTACATATTTTATAGATATGTGCCCTCTGTCTTTCGAACTTTGGTTCACGTGCTTACATATCTTATAGATATGTACCCCTGTCTTTCTCCATTTGGTACACGTGCTTATATATTTTATAGATATGTACCTATATCAAAGCAGGATGGACTTACGTATATGATACTCAGAGTGAAGATCCATACGCTTATTCTGGTAGTGACTGGGTAGGGTACAGTGATGTGACTAGTGTTGCAAAGAAGGTAGGCGTTTCCCAGAGAAATAATCCATTTTATAATTTAGATTATTGTAGACTATGAATTATTTGGTCATCCATTCTGGCCGGTTTGTCAGATCCCTTCAAGATTACTTGTCATTTCTATAAACTTATCCCTGGAAGTCATCGTTAAATTGCTTTTAAAAGCATTCATCGCATTGGGAGTTTTTATCCATCTCATATCCTGTAATATATATTTGAGATATTGATTCCTTTAAAGGCTGAATTCATCAAAGAGAGAGACCTTGGTGGTGCCATGATATGGGCCTTGGACCTTGACAATTTTAACAAAGATTCATTATGTAACACGGATACAGAAGATTACCCCTTGCTGAAGACTATAAATAACGTCCTCGGTGGTGCTGTTGTCAATACACCAATAGGAGTAACCACAACAACTAACGCAGGTATAACTACTCCTTTACAAATATAATTGGATGTGTCATTCTTACCGATTTCATGGTTTCACCAATATGGTTAGGCATGGGCTCTACGTCATGTAGGACAATATAGTGAACATTATATTAACTTTCATTTATTTACTTCAAGTCATTCTTTCCAGATTCTGCCAGTAGTACACCGACTACAACCACCAAATCAACTTCAACAAATGAAGGTATACAATTAGTTTATCTTTGATGTATCCATATTCGCATTCCACTATGACAATTACGGGAGAAAACGTATACAGTATATCTAAGGCGGTGCCCCTTTACTTTGGCTCTCTTATGGATAAGGAGATTGGTTTTTGTCCAGTTTAACATCTATTGAGACTTAATTTTTCATCTTACATCGTATGAGTACTTGTATCTTCTTAAATGTAAGATCTTTTCAATTTTTTCTTTAACATTTACTCCATGATTGCAATATGCATAGATTGTCTCTTGGTCGTGTGATTTTTCAATCATGGTACTGATTTATGAATGGTTAGGTATGATCGGAGCTGTTAAACACTGTAATATTTGTGAGTTACATGGTTGGTTTGATATACCCCTGTGTGCAGACTATAGAACCTCTCTTCCGAGATGCAATATCGAACGAATGCAAAGGATATTGTTTTGAATGCTTGGAATTCATATTTTGATAGCCCGTTGTACTTTTAAGTATTTATTTCCCCCGTGTTTTTAATATTAAACGGTCTTCACACGTGTGGCACTTGTACCAACATACGAGGGGTGATCAGGAATTTTGGGACTATTGGCTCTGAATTTCTCTTGTTGACTTGGATAATTGTAGCATTGAATTCTTGGAATTAGTAAACTGCAGTGGCATTTGGTTAATTTTAGATTTTTGCACTCAACGGACAGATGGACTATATAGTGATCCTAACGACTGTGCCAGTTTTATAACCTGTGAAAATGGGATTAATCGTGGCGTCAACACCTGTGGCCAAGGAACTTTGTATTCCGATACGTGTAATGTTGTGACTGGGTAGACAACGTTAATTGTGGTAGGTAGTATGAAGTGTGACCAAACGCTATTTTTAAATATCTGTGCAATCAATCATTTAGTACAAAGAGTTAACTATATTAATTACAACATGACATCAAATTCTTCAACGTTCATAGTTCAATGTGCCATGGACAATCAAAATTGCACCAGCTAATTTGGAATCTGATATAACTGATAATTTTAAAGTAATTATACGACACGTTTTGGTCAGTCATGCTTTTGGGCCACCCTTTACTCCCTCTTCTCTTTCGATGAACATTTTGAACACCGAGTAGATTAACGAACTCGAATCACCGGTGCGTCTCTTGTGTTTTCAATTTAGTGAGAATTATGTTCGATAAAAATGTTGCCCAACTCTTCCATTTATAAGTGAACACTTACAGTTAAGTTGTAAATCATTATAGATGTTACGTATTCTTCAACATCTTCATCTACGACATCAACTGAACTAACTAAAACACCAAGTGAGTCAACTACGACATCAACTAAACCAACAACAATAACCGATCCAAGTACAGCACCAACTGAACCAACTAAAACACCAAGTGAGTCAACTACGACATCAACTAAACCAACAACAATAACCGATCCAAGTACAGCACCAACTGAACCAACTAAAACATCAAGTGACCCAACTACAACAGCATCTAAGCCGTCAACAATAGTTACCGATCCAACGACAACAACTAACATATCAACAGTTGATACTGGAGGTATGAATAGTGAAGCCGGTTCAACCATGTCTTAAAGGGTGACGATTAGCATCCCGTATAAAAACAATATGGCGGCTCCAGGCGAATCAACTGGATCAGTCCATTTTTAAGAAATAAGGGGAGTTCTGTAAAATCAAGTTTATTGAAATTGTCTTTGAGATAAAGTAATCCGTTTATAATGATTTTGAAAACGTTATCCAAAGAGTGATTGCGTTCAAAGAATACATGTACAACAGCCAATATAAATCCTTGTATTAGAAACCGGTTTGTCTTGCTTTGTTTCATTTGTAGGATATTTCATATGCCAAGCTTTGTGCTATTACGTTATGGGGAAATTTAGATGCCACTTTTTCCTTATTATACACAAATAGAAGATCCTGAAACTTCACCCATAAATGTGGAATTGATTTGTCAAAATAAAAATCACCCTTTTATAAATGTGTGACGATCTATAATATACTTATGCTATATAACAGTTAGAGGTGTTGACACAACGACCTCGAACCTGTGAACCCTTGAGTATTATTCCGGGATCGGGCCTTTTATACCGAACGGTGAGCAACACCAGAAACGAGCGTTCGATTTGCTAAACGATATGCGTCACCCTTTAAATGAACTCGTATGAACTCGATGGTGGCGTGTTCTTCATATCTGTCCCGTTGGTGTGTGGATTGTGAATAAATATTGGTGTCAAATATTCTAAATCAATAACTAAAGCAAAACCAGTTCTTTTTTAAACTCTAATCTATTACATGTACAATGATGCAATATCAAAACATGTAAACTATTCATTAATGAATAAATTTAATCTTGGAGATTTTTGTAATTTTCATGTTAATGTATACAATTTAACCGATAGGATTCCCCACCTGTCCCGAAGTCCATAAACTCATTAGAATGTAAAAGTGTATGAATCCTACTTACATTTTAGAGGCATTTGGAACATTTGACTGTAGACGTGAGAATACTGGATGTCAAAATGGAGGAGCGTGTAACTGGATTACATATCCTGGTTCGTGTGAATGTCTTCCTACGTTCTTTGGATTTGATTGTAGTGTTGCACAAGGTATGTCAACAGGTCAAGTTTATATTGTCTGCGTTTAAAATGAAATATATGTTTTGCTATGAAGGTAACCTTATTCACGAAATTGACTTTTTAAAAGTTGAAGACTATAACAATATGTCACCACTTGTGGCGGTGACATTATAATCTTCACAAGATGTGAATTATTGTTGTACTGGTAGTACGATCTCCATCTTTTTGTGGACGGTATTTGGCGGTTGGTTTTCGGCATTAGGTGGTTGGCCGTCTGTAACAAATGATAGGTGGTGACAGTTTGCATGTCGATGCCTTGTTTTTATTCAAACTATAGGCTCTGGGCTCAGAGTAGTTCATGTGTGTGACATGTCTTTTTCAGACAGTGTAACGAGCCCTGACCAATGTTATCCCAAATGTGTGATGGAAAACACCCTGGAATGTGTTACAACTGATCAAGGGTCGGAATGTGTTTGCAAGTATCCTTTCACTGGAGCTGATTGTTCAAAAAGACGAGGTGAGTTCTCAATTCAATCAATTTAGGCCTTTATCACGTATTAGAATAAATCACGAAAAATGAACATTTCAAGTTACTCATGTTAGATCTTACTCATGAAGGCTAACCATGCCTTTAACAAGTGTTATAAGAGTTAAGTAAAAACTTATAAAAAATAAACACGAGAAAGCAAAAACAATCCCCAACGTCAAAGACAACAATCTAACGTAAAAGTTTTTATACCCCCCCCCCACCATTCAGAATCCAATATCTAAATCTAAAACCTCTAGACATAAATCAATCACACATTAATGCCTGGGTCACATTTGATCCGATCCATCTGACGGCGCCCGGCCGATTGAGTGTTCTGTTCAATATTGTATTCAATTTTGAACAAAATACTCAATCGGATGGGCGCCGTAGTGTAAATCAGAGCAAATGTGACCAAGGTATTAACCATGCACTGTAGTTGACAATGGAGCTCTGTACATATTTTCAGTTAATGTTGAGTGCTCTGCCACAGACATGACAATAACAGTAATTCCATATCCGGGAACATCAGCATTTACTGGCCGTGTATTCATTCCAAATCATCTGGACGCGCCTTGCCAATTTGACGTACAATCAGGAGCATATGTTAGCGGCAAGATTGCACATTCTGAATGTGGAATAGTCACCAAGACTGATACAACTATGGTATGGAACTCCATTAGTTTCCTTGTGTTGTGAAGTTCTGTTTCTAAATTGATTAGAGATTTTCTATACTGAGTACTATATCTATTATCTATTTTTATATATATATATGTCAATACACAAAATTCTTTGAATGTTCAAATAATGAAATGATTTTTTCTCATTTTTTCTGATATTTTACAAGTTATGTTTAAGTTTATTTTATAGGGAAGACCTTAGTTTTTATGATTTTTAGTTTTAGTTCGTAGTCTTAAGCTAAATGTTTTTCTTCACCAGATTGGTACGGTTACTTATGAAGCAAAGATTGTGATTCAATACGATCCCTTTGTTCTAACCCTCCTTGACGAAGTGGTTACTGCCCGGTGCTCAGCGATGACGCGTGGTGAATTAAATTTGTCCTGGGGTGCGGTAGATATAGACGAGTAAGTCAGAAAATAGTATTTGCATTAAAAGTGGCCAGTTTCTTATTGAAAATGAAAAGTAAATGGAATTCTTGAGACAGGTTTCCTAGTTATTCAATTTTGTTTTGCATAAAATGGTGTGCAAAATTAAATTAAGTAACACGTTCAACATTTACAATAAAAATGTAAATATTGAATTCCCTGTTCTTGGGGAGATGGCGAAAGTCCAATATAAGATTGGCTACGTGAATACCATGAATGGATTTGATTGTAAAGATTTAACACAACCTTTTAGGGATAACCTCAAAAACGGTGGGGCTGTCACAGGGGAAATTTCCCCGATTGTAATAAAAGTCACTGATGGCCAAGGGAATGAGATTGGAGACAATGTGTACATTGGAGATCCATTGCAATTACAGTTCATCCAAATTGAAGGTATGATCATTTCACAAATATTTACTTTGTATTGGGAATGCAGATTTAAAAATCAAATGTTCACATTTTGCTGTATTGTAGGTGGCGCCCCGTACTCGGTAGAGTCGTGTGTGGCAAGTAACACAAAAGAAGATCCTGACAATGAACTTGTCATCATATGGGATAGGTACCGTTTTCCCTTTGCATTCGTTTGATTGTGACATTTTCCTTTGATAAGGACATTATCATTACTGCAGGTAACAAGTTTGTTTCTACCATACCTGCTTATCAACTTTATTATTTGCTTGCACATTTGTAAGTTCAAACAGTTTATCTAGTTTTCAGAGCAAGATTCTAATCGTTCTGCATTATTTTGTTTAAGGTGTATAGACCGATCATCCTATGCAGTCGTTGATATGCAAAACCCTATTGAAATCCTGGATGAAAAGAAAGTGGTACATCTGAAAGCATTTAAATTCCCATCTGATTCCACCGTTTTTCTGACGTGTACTGTGCGATTATGTAACGAAGTGGATCTAAGTACATGCGACCCAAAGGTGATATGATTATACACGTATGCAGGGTGGGCCAAAAAATTAAAGCATTTGTATTCGGATTAGATGGACTGGATCAAAATGAATAAACCAGAACTCTTTTCTTGATCAATTCAAGTCAGGTCACATTTCGTGTTAAAATAAATGGGCCAAATGTTCTATCAATCCATCTAATCCAAATGCAAATACTTTAATTTGTACATAGATATAAATCACAATAGTGTACATGTTAAGCACCATACGTAAAGTGTGTCAATCTAATAAACTGTTTAGGGTGCCCCCTAGCTGAGAAATACATGCATTATAAAAAGAAACAGAATAGAATATATGGACCTTTTTGACCCAAAGTCAACGTCAAGTGGACACTCAGAATTTCTGAAACATATAATGCTAAAACATGTTTGTGCCAAAAAGGTCTTGACGATTCTGGCTACATCTCGTGAAATCATGAAAAAAGAGAAATGTTACTACCTGCAAGGCTGCAAACAGTATATAGTAACGAGTTTCAACAGTTCCACCAGTAGTTTAAGAAATCGTGTGAACGTTTATAGTCACCGAATGGAAGTCTCTAATAGTTTTGATACAAACTTCCTTCGTTTTGTAAATTGAAAAAAACATATTTACCGAAATGAATGTTTATGTATTGATTGAGACTACACCTTTCACTTGAACTGCTTGCCAATTGTTTTAGACTAATTGTCCTTGGGAGATACCACAAGGATTGCGGAAACGTTCGGTTTATGGTGATGAGATACTTTACATAAAGAAGTGGACTGTGAATGAAGTTAAATTCAGCGACAATGGTAGGATGTCTCATGTAGTCGTTTATGACGATTTTACAACAAACCTGTTCCGTTTTAACGTTATTGGTCCTTGACTAGGTTGGAATAGTACAGGTGTAAAAGGGTATGAGGTCCTATAAAATTATAGTCCGGCCTACTCTCCATTGATTTATATGGTGACCTAAATACAACTCTTTTTCTCATTATCTTATACACAATCAGGGCCAGTAAGGGCCGTTAAGAAAGGGGACCATCATTTCTTTCACACCGAGACAAAACTTCAACTCAGTGTGTAATCGAAATCTTAATTTAATTACGTTATGTTACATCATCACTTTTATACTGAACCTAATTGTAATATATAATTTGTTTTGTCTTTAATGTGAGTATTTCTTTGATTTCAGCATCATCATGTTGCTTAGTGAAAGCAATATCTACATTTGTGCTCGGACTAACACTTCTGACATTAACTTTGAGATGATTTCAAGGCGTACAATAACTCGACAGTGGAAAAAATATTTATCTGTAACATTAATATCAACTGGCAATGTAAATTCTAATTTTGATGCTCTTATGGACGTTTAAGACGAAATGCTCTATCTTGAATGATGAGTAATATATTGCCTATAAAAACTATTTTGATGTCAAAGATATGTGTAAATCAAAATAAATAATACATTAAAGTAAACCATTCGAAATAAATCAAAATAAATAAATATGCATCATCAAATCAAACCAATTGCAATGAAAACACCCAAGGATAATTTAATTATACCTCTGACATATACGTATATGCAACCTCTCTCCTTCAACAGCAACATTTCCAGACTTACTAAAAAAGCAAAGGTCAAGCCTCTATTTAAAAATGAGGATGAAACTAAATTCAATAACTACATACCAATTTCCCTATTATCAGTATTCTCAAAAGTGTTGGAGCGAGTAATGGCAAATCGACTTATAGATTTTCTAAAAAATATAATATCTTCTGTGAACAGCAATTTGGCTTTAGAAAAAATAGATCTACATATATGGCTATTACCAGCTTCTTAGAAACATAAATTCAGTCAATTGAAAAGAAAGATCTTAATATTGCTATTTTCATCGACTTGTCTAAAGCATTTGATACAGTTAATCATGAAATACTTCTTCAAAAATTATACTATTATGGAATCAGGGGAAATGCACATGAAGTGGTTCATAAGCTATCTTTCAAACCGAACTCAGGAAACAGAATATTATGACAAGACTTCCAAAATCAATACAGTCACCTGCGGGGTTCCACAGGGCTCGATCCTTGGACCTACTCTGTTTCTTATTTACATCAATGACATTGTTACGACATCTTCTATATTTAGATTTGTTATCTTTGCTGATGATACAAACCGTCTCTGCTCACATAAAAACCTTAGTACTATCATTAATCATGTTGACTCTGAATTAGAAATTCTTGACGAATGGCTATGTGCAAATAAACTATCGCTTAATATAGAAAAATAAAAATCCATGATCTTTCATCCACACAAATTAAAAGAATCTGAAATAATAATTCTAAATCAGAAATAAACCTATTGAGAGAATTTCAAAGACTACTTTTCTTGGAGTTATTATCGATGATAAACTAAAATGGAATGAGCATATTGCTCATGTATCTACCAAAATTTCACAAGTAGTTGGAATTCTTTACAAGGTCAAAAATAAGATAAATCACACTGCAATGATGTTTATTTATTACTCTCTTACATATAGCCATATAAATTATTGTATTCTTATCTGGGGAACAGCAACTAAAGCTCTATTGTTTCAATTTCTGAAAGTACAAAAAAGATTCTTACGACTAATTACAAACAGTGTTAGAACAGACTATTCCTCTCTACAATTTAAGAAAATAAAGATACTTAAATTAGAAGATATTCATAAGCTAAATGTTGGTATTTTTGTATTTAATTGTCTCAAACGATCTAAAGAATTTCCTCAAACTTTATTCTTTGACTACTTCATATCAAATGCTCAAACTTATGGTCAAGAGACACGTTATAGATTCAATCTAAGAGCTAATCAATTTAAATCAACATTTGGACAAAGGAGCATTAAATACATAGGACAAACATGGAATGCATTACCTGAAACCTTTAAACATCTGAATTCTAAAAATAAATTTAAGTCAGATTTGAAAAGGTATTATCTGGACAAGTAAATTGATCTGTATAACATTTAGCTATATGTGCTTATTTGTATGTATATTTCTTTTTATTTCTTTTCTATTACTTTTCTCCTAACTTTCTATCTTTAAAAACAGTTTTATATCTTGTCATCTTGATTAATACAATTATGTAATATAATCATATGTAACTATATACACCCGCATGGGTGTCAGTTGCCTGTACACTAAACATAGATATAATTGATGAATAAACAACTATGCAAAAAAAGATGCCACCATGATTTTTGTTTGTTCAAGAATCAGGTATGTGATCAAAAAGAATTTCAAGTTGTACATAAGGAAAGTTAGATTCCTGGAAACATGTGATGAATTTTATATCTATTACTTATTGATTAAGTGAATATTTATTTACCTTTGATCAATATAGAGTATCATAGGTTTCGCCAATAAAATAAGAATAACATAAACTTTTCTGAGATGGAGACTTTTCTGAGATGGAGAGCTATTTTAACAGATGGGGACAGATGTATTGGAATCCTTTTTCATGAATTCTGGGCATTGTAACATCACAATCAAAAATGTCTATATCATCGTAGGTCACATACTAGTAGTATTATATCTTATTAAAACATATTGAATTTCCCATCTTTTTGGTACATAACACATGGTTTATCTGTGTTATCTAAAATACTTTTAAGAAAGATACAAAGTGTCCCATTTTATTGTCCACCCTGTATAAATACAGGGTGGGCCAAAAAACGCCACTTTTTTCAAAATGCTATAACTTTTTTAATTTTTGATATTAAATCATAATTTGCATACCAAATGAAACTTGAGGTTGTTATCTAGCCATGGATCATGCATTATACACTTTTACTTGAATAAAATATGTCACCAGCGTCTCACTTCAACATGTGGTGTGCCATGAGAAATAAGCATAATTTGCAAAATGTTCCTGAACTGATACGGCCTGATGATCGCCAAGCTAATAGCCCTGATGCGAACCCAAGTGAGTATAGGGTATGGGAAGGTCTCCAGGAGATTGTATGAAGGCACCTAATCTAGAAAATTGCTCAACTAAAGCTTGCAATTAAGACAGGTTGAAAAAAACTGAACCTAATTGTAATATATAATTTGTTTTGTCTTTAATGTGAGTATTTCTTTGATTTCAGCATCATCATGTTGCTTAGTGAAAGCAATATCTACATTTGTGCTCGGACTAACACTTCTGACATTAACTTTGAGATGATTTCAAGGCGTACAATAACTCGACAGTGGAAAAAATATTTATCTGTAACATTAATATCAACTGGCAATGTAAATTCTAATTTTGATGCTCTTATGGACGTTTAAGACGAAATGCTCTATCTTGAATGATGAGTAATATATTGCCTATAAAAACTATTTTGATGTCAAAGATATGTGTAAATCAAAATAAATAATACGTTAAAGTAAACCATTCGAAATAAATCAAAATAAATAAATATGCATCATCAAATCAAACCAATTGCAATGAAAACACCCAAGGATAATTTAATTATACCTCTGACATATACGTATATGCAACCTCTCTCCTTCAACAGCAACATTTCCAGACTTACTAAAAAAAGCAAAGGTCAAGCCTCTATTTAAAAATGAGGATGAAACTAAATTCAATAACTACATACCAATTTCCCTATTATCAGTATTCTCAAAAGTGTTGGAGCGAGTAATGGCAAATCGACTTATAGATTTTCTAAAAAATATAATATCTTCTGTGAACAGCAATTTGGCTTTAGAAAAAATAGATCTACATATATGGCTATTACCAGCTTCTTAGAAACATAAATTCAGTCAATTGAAAAGAAAGATCTTAATATTGCTATTTTCATCGACTTGTCTAAAGCATTTGATACAGTTAATCATGAAATACTTCTTCAAAAATTATACTATTATGGAATCAGGGGAAATGCACATGAAGTGGTTCATAAGCTATCTTTCAAACCGAACTCAGGAAACAGAATATTATGACAAGACTTCCAAAATCAATACAGTCACCTGCGGGGTTCCACAGGGCTCGATCCTTGGACCTACTCTGTTTCTTATTTACATCAATGACATTGTTACGACATCTTCTATATTTAGATTTGTTATCTTTGCTGATGATACAAACCGTCTCTGCTCACATAAAAACCTTAGTACTATCATTAATCATGTTGACTCTGAATTAGAAATTCTTGACGAATGGCTATGTGCAAATAAACTATCGCTTAATATAGAAAAATAAAAATCCATGATCTTTCATCCACACAAATTAAAAGAATCTGAAATAATAATTCTAAATCAGAAATAAACCTATTGAGAGAATTTCAAAGACTACTTTTCTTGGAGTTATTATCGATGATAAACTAAAATGGAATGAGCATATTGCTCATGTATCTACCAAAATTTCACAAGTAGTTGGAATTCTTTACAAGGTCAAAAATAAGATAAATCACACTGCAATGATGTTTATTTATTACTCTCTTACATATAGCCATATAAATTATTGTATTCTTATCTGGGGAACAGCAACTAAAGCTCTATTGTTTCAATTTCTGAAAGTACAAAAAAGATTCTTACGACTAATTACAAACAGTGTTAGAACAGACTATTCCTCTCTACAATTTAAGAAAATAAAGATACTTAAATTAGAAGATATTCATAAGCTAAATGTTGGTATTTTTGTATTTAATTGTCTCAAACGATCTAAAGAATTTCCTCAAACTTTATTCTTTGACTACTTCATATCAAATGCTCAAACTTATGGTCAAGAGACACGTTATAGATTCAATCTAAGAGCTAATCAATTTAAATCAACATTTGGACAAAGGAGCATTAAATACATAGGACAAACATGGAATGCATTACCTGAAACCTTTAAACATCTGAATTCTAAAAATAAATTTAAGTCAGATTTGAAAAGGTATTATCTGGACAAGTAAATTGATCTGTATAACATTTAGCTATATGTGCTTATTTGTATGTATATTTCTTTTTATTTCTTTTCTATTACTTTTCTCCTAACTTTCTATCTTTAAAAACAGTTTTATATCTTGTCATCTTGATTAATACAATTATGTAATATAATCATATGTAACTATATACACCCGCATGGGTGTCAGTTGCCTGTACACTAAACATAGATATAATTGATGAATAAACAACTATGCAAAAAAAGATGCCACCATGATTTTTGTTTGTTCAAGAATCAGGTATGTGATCAAAAAGAATTTCAAGTTGTACATAAGGAAAGTTAGATTCCTGGAAACATGTGATGAATTTTATATCTATTACTTATTGATTAAGTGAATATTTATTTACCTTTGATCAATATAGAGTATCATAGGTTTCGCCAATAAAATAAGAATAACATAAACTTTTCTGAGATGGAGACTTTTCTGAGATGGAGAGCTATTTTAACAGATGGGGACAGATGTATTGGAATCCTTTTTCATGAATTCTGGGCATTGTAACATCACAATCAAAAATGTCTATATCATCGTAGGTCACATACTAGTAGTATTATATCTTATTAAAACATATTGAATTTCCCATCTTTTTGGTACATAACACATGGTTTATCTGTGTTATCTAAAATACTTTTAAGAAAGATACAAAGTGTCCCATTTTATTGTCCACCCTGTATAAATACAGGGTGGGCCAAAAAACGCCACTTTTTTCAAAATGCTATAACTTTTTTAATTTTTGATATTAAATCATAATTTGCATACCAAATGAAACTTGAGGTTGTTATCTAGCCATGGATCATGCATTATACACTTTTACTTGAATAAAATATGTCACCAGCGTCTCACTTCAACATGTGGTGTGCCATGAGAAATAAGCATAATTTGCAAAATGTTCCTGAACTGATACGGCCTGATGATCGCCAAGCTAATAGCCCTGATGCGAACCCAAGTGAGTATAGGGTATGGGAAGGTCTCCAGGAGATTGTATGAAGGCACCTAATCTAGAAAATTGCTCAACTAAAGCTTGCAATTAAGACAGGTTGAAAAAAACTTAGCTAACATTTCATTGATACTGCAATATCAGCAAGGCGACTAAAACTAACATATATCATCAATTAGGGTGGCGGACCAATTGAACTCCCCTTTTAGATCAAATATAATCCAAGGTGAAAAACTTGTTACATTATATTATTACTAAGAACCCTTGGCACTATATAACTGCAAAATTTGGGGTATGTAGGTTGGAAAATAAAAAAGTTGTAGTGTCTTGAAAAAAGTGGCGTTTTTGGCCCACCCTGTAGATAATTAATATCAATGAAGAGTTCAATTTTCCCCCCAAGTGGCTCTAATATTAGACAAATATAGACAATTGGATAAATACATGTTTTAGCAATTATTGTTCTTTCTCGGTATATTCTAGAGAATTGATTTATTCTACCAAATATGTCATGTACGTGATCGCATGTTTGATTTCTCGGTGTGATACAACTCAAAATTGAAGTGAGTCACAAATATAATCACCCAATTTCATTTATATCACATTTTTCATTTCATTTTATGAGCATTTTATTTGGGAAGTACTGACGATTACATAAACAAAGTAAACGATGACCAGTGCGGTAAACTCAATGCGATATAATGTCAAGCATGGCGGGGAGTATTGTACCATCTTGTTAATACAGACACAATTTGGAGGGATTTGGGGAATATGTGACACATTATCAGACAAATCAAGGTTTCACGAATTGCAACGTTTCGATTATGTATTTTCAGCTAATGAAAAAGTACTCTCTCACATTTAATTCATCCTTTGAATATTCTGTAATTTCGTAAATGAATGTTCTATTAGACCCAATAATTCCACGTAAAAGGTTTGGATCCATGGCCCCAGTTCCCGACTGCATATAATTGTCTTCAATAAGGGACCAGACTTGTGACTAAGGGATTTCATACAGGAGTCAACCAATTCAAATAACGATTGACATTGTTTTGAGATTGAAACGGGACGACACCATAACATTAAGAGACAATAGAATCTGTAAATATTGTACCATAGTAATCGAGGATAAGTATCGTGTAATTAGTAAATGGCCTAGATACCATGATATCAGATTAAGTCTTAAATCCCCTCATTAGAAAACTATAACACAGACCGATTCATTCATTTGACAAAAATAAAAGAAATGCAAACCTCTTTAACAAACTATCATTGTTGATTATTGAAGCGACCGATATCAAACTATAGTAAACAAATATACTTTGTGCACATTGGGCAAGCAGCCTTATATGAACTAAAACTTTTTGTTAATTATGATAAACAAACTAATTTTTCTTTTTTTGTACTTTTTGCCTGATCATCATTAATCTTTCGGAATGCCATAGAGACTTAACTGTACGTTAAATCCTACTGCAATTTAAGCACCGTGACAGAAAATATATTTTAAGAGATTAAGAGAGAAAGTCATTTTCATTTTTACGTCATATAGGCTTATCACATGTGCGGTTTAGCGAGATCTAAACGATAGTTTTCTCACATTTGACATACCAAAGTAACTAATATTAAAACTGTTTTATTCAAATCTTAATCCGTGAGAAAAAACACGGTGTTCTAATTCTTCCAGACCTTGGGAAAAGAAAAGATATAAAACCGGACATATCGCTTGATTCCCGCCCGTTATCGGTATTTATTACCTTCAATAAATAAAGTGTGATTAGTAATCTGGCATATATAACAGAACTTGACATCAGTCGAAAGGAATTTGGACGTTCGGAATTCTAGTGATTGAATTCTAAAAAGAACTTAGACGTGAATAGAAGACCACGATATCGATGGTAAGACTTCTTTAGGGTTAAGGAAACATTAGCTTACGTGTACGCAGCTTTTCAAGATCAAAATTCTAGTAGGGTTTTGGTTAGTGAAATTATCAATACTTATCTTATATTTCACTGTTTCTCTTATGTTTTCGCGTTGCCGCTACTTTGAACCTTTTCTTAAACGACATATGGATTTATCCATGTCGGAAATCATTTCATTTTGAAAATAAAAAATTGTTTAGAAAGTGCCAGGGATTATGCAAAAAAAACTGTTCAAATTATTTTTTGGGGCATAGGATGGAATTTAAATTGAGGTACAAACTTTTTTAACATTAGCATATCTAAGTCAGGCGAGGCAAGTTTCTCATCATAATAAAATAGACAATTTTTCGACGTTTTTTTTTCAACTAAACGTAGAAAAACATAAAAACATGAAGCTTTGGCTTAAGGATAGCCTCACAAGTTGAGTTCTAGAGTCATAGATCTATATGTCATCGTCGATCTTTGTCAACATTCTATTGTAAAAGGTATTCAGTATACTGACGATAGCATAGCCGTAGGGACCGGGGGTTCGATGGGTTCGGACGAACCCCCGGTCGGGATTTCTCCCAAAAAAATATTTGTGGAAAAATTCATTGCAATAACCAGAAACATATATTCAATTTATATGACCAGTAGGAAAAAATAGTAAAGGAAGAGGTTTGAGTATTGGCAAATATCCCTATGGTCAAAATGAATTATTCTTAGGTGTAACATGAAGAATAGAATGTCATAATACTTTGGAAAATATTAAAGTGCTCGGGCACACATAAGCTGAGATAGGGATCATTTCATGATTCTCGTCATTAATGATAAAATAAGCGGAACGGTGATAGAAAATGGAATGTTTTCACAGTTTTTATTTTCAATTCAAAGAAAGCACAACAAATAAGTTTTTCAGCATTAGTTGTTCTTTATTTGTTGCAAGGCATTGAAATTTAAGAGAGATGTTTAATGTTAGAGCCTACAGAGCACAGTGGATATTTTGTTATTTCAATTTGTTGTTTTTTAAATTTCAGCCTATGTTTCATTCCATTAATACAATACTATTTGTCATCTGTCACTTCTATCGTCAGTACCAATTGAGAGTATTCGTGCAGCCATTACGACTTTTATTGTGCGCCATGAAGTATTACATTCGTCAAAAATATTTGCTTTTGAATATACTAGTATTCAGAAACTAACTGTAAGTTCATGAGGTCATTATGAACTCCTCTATTACAAAATGAAATGGCAGATAAAATTCTTTTGATTTGGATTCTTTTCAAAAATCATCTAAAAGTGTGGGAATAGCATGCCAGAATTTGACATATCTTTGAATGATGAATTGGGAATGACGATTTTTCAATGGTAGCTCGTTAAAAAATATGTTCCTTAGAGATATGTTGTAATTTGCCCTTTACAAAAGAATTGTCTCAATGTATGCTAACCCTTGATTTGGATTTCATTGAACAATTAAACATTTGTTATATAAAATGTATGATTTTGCTACCAGATTTCAATATCTTTCAGTAAAAGATTCACCAAAAACTATCAAATTGTTGCTAAACTTTTGGAGGGGTGTAAATTGTATGTACAAAAAATACTTTTATGTGAGGTACACCGATGAAGGGGGAGATTTGTGGATACATAAAAAATCGAACCCCTGGTCACCAATTGCTGGCTACGCCACTGCGATAGCAATGAAGAATAAGAGTAATTTTGCATTTAGTTATTTTTGAAAAAAACATAAAGGACTTTTAAAGTGTATGTTTTATCAAACAACCACTTTAATAGTGGATGTTCAACGTTAACTTAAGATAGAATAGCTACATTTTTTATTTGGAGTGTCTTAAGGATTAGGGATCAAAAGATGTGTGGGACGTAATATTTGCATAGTCGTCATGCTTGCCGATAGGGATTATGGACGTATTAAATAGTGAAATCAATTTGCATTCAATTAAGTAAGAGAACATAGACAAATCTACCTATGTCTTGGATCTTGAATTGTTTTCAATTAAATTTATAGCACAAATACTAAATGCTGTGTACAGCAATTATTTTAATATCTGGTGTCGCAAAAAATGAGACACTTTTTGACAAGTATTTTCTCGGCAACTGATGAACCAAATTCATTGAAAAGTACAAAGTAGGCAGATTAGCAAGTTGTCAAAATAGAAAAGATCAAGTAAACAGTCTGTGTGTACTGAGAAATTCAAAAAAGCATGTCCAAAATTCCCATACCGGAGTTCTGCGATGAGACCTCCATATAGTGTTTGTACCAGAGGTGATAGCATCTGTCAATCAGTCAAAATATAGCTTGTCTATGTGTCACATCTAATAAATTCGTTTCATTCTTCCCAAATATCCAAAATTCATTCATTCTCAAAAATTCATTGGAGGTGATGTTGTTAGAATAAATACGGAAAGTATTCTTGCTTGATTAATAAGTGACTTTTACATTGATATTGGTTGCTTTTTTATATGTATTTATTTTTGTCAATCCTAGAAAATTACTGGCCGGGTCGGAACAGAAAGCATTTCAGAAAAAAATCCAATTTTTTGTTACAAAATGATATTTGTGAAAATGCTCTCCCGAGAAATATTTTTTTTCCGAGCATCCCATGTTCATTTTTGCTTCTCCATTGTAGATGCCTGATCTCAACATGGTTTTTGTTGTCATGGTGACGATAGTTATCTTCGGAGTCAACTCTGAAGGTACAAAATGACTTTATAATTTGTCAATGTGTGTGCTTTTATGCAATCGTTGTGACAAATTTTCAAATCCTTGAATGGCTATACAGAAGCATGTTTTCTTGATGGATGTAACACCAATAATCACATATACAATGAATGAAATGTCATCACTCGGTTTTATTCTCATGTAGGATACAAAAAGGTATGCTATTACACAAGTTGGGCACAGTACAGGCAAGGAGCAGCGAGATTTGTACCTGAGAATATTGACCCATCTCTGTGCACGCATATTATCTTTGCATTCGCTTACCTGGACAACAGAGCTAATGATGACAGTACGCTGAAGATCTATGAATACAATGATGTTGGTAAGTATAGAAAAACAATGTAATGAATTTAGTAAAATATATATAAAATGCGCGATTTGAGTTTTGATGAACCTTTTAAATAAGCCATGAAGAAACTATTTAAAATGGTATCTTGGCAATAATTTTCACAGTGGAATGTGATGAATAAAGCATTTAAAGCCCAGGACTTAATGAATTGTGGATGATTGTAAAACACGTTTGTCTTGTTTCGAGGCTTTTAATGAAGGCAGTAGACCGAGTTTAAAGTCTAGGATACAAGACGTGGTTGGAATAAATCATTCAAAATTCATTGACTCATGATGTGCTTAAATTATTTTACCGTTGCAAATGATTCTGTGCAGTATTACGTAAAAGAATAATTTTTCCATGGTTAAATGGTCAAAAGTAACCATTTTATTCGGGTTTGTTTATCCATCATTTAGCAAGAAGCTTCTGTAGCTTCGTACTGAGAGCATAAGGCTTTGGATCTGACAGTTTAAGATTCGATTCCCACTCGGGGCGTGGAATGTAGCACATTTTCCTTTTTTGCATTTGATCATACCAGGAAGCGCCCTTGTATTATTACATCAATATAATCTAACTTGCAATCATTTCCATGGTGTCCTATTTTGACTATGGTCTTGCTTTTTTATTTCGGATCACCTCAGAAGGAATATTTCTCGAATAGTGAGTTCTACTTATTGACTTGTAGAAATGTATGGAAGGATTAACGCTCTGAAGCAACAAAATCCCTCACTGAAGACACTGTTAGCAGTTGGAGGTTGGAACCATGGATCTAGACTTTTCTCCGACATGGCTAACAGTGTTACTAAGCGCACCAAGTTTGTGACGAATTCCATTGCGTATTTGAAACAGTATGGCTTTGATGGCTTAGACTTGGATTGGGAGTACCCAGCACAACGAGATAGTTCTCATTTTGGAACAGATAAAGCTGCTTTTGTTGAACTATGCAAGGCAAAAAGAAATTTTTATGTTACATGTTATATATGTTTGTGCAATGTTATAGAATAATGCAATCAGAATCCAATTAACGCATAATGATAATTGCTGAGAAAGATAGATTATGATTTCTATATGAAACAGCTTTGTAGTGAATTAATCAATGTTATCAAGAAATGAATTAAATGGTTTAAACATACAAACTATAGACACTTCTTTTGAAGTAATGTCATCAAATTATATGGATTATATTATTCAATGAGCATCGCTTCTTTGTAATAAATGACAAAATATGTATTAATTGTAATAACTACATCATCATTTATGAAATGGTAGAGCCATCGGAACAATAATATTTTTTCAAGTTTAATAGTTTTCTATTTTGTGAGAAACTGAAATATTTATCGTTACACCGATTCCTCCCACTATTGCCATTTATCTTTCTTATAGTAGTTAACCTAATGAGTAATTACGTAGACAGCGGAAAAAATACTTGTTATTCAGATTTATGGAAATATTTCAGACATTTGGGTAAATCAAAAGAAAGTGTCAGAATCAAAGCTAAGCTAATATGTTTGGACCTTCTCTGCTGACTTGCCATAGAGAATCGAAAATGTGGGTAAACTATTTCCTCATGCGTGCGGGTTAAGGTCAACCAAATCCAAAGTTATTCTTAATTATAGTTCAAAATAGAATTAGTTCTTACAAATTGAGAGCAATATTTTACAGGATTTGAGGGCGGGTTTCGAGCAAGAGGCGGCATCATCTGGTCAACCTCGCTTATTGTTGACTGCTGCGGTTGGATGTGGGCCTCGAAACATAGATGTATCATACGACGTATTCGGAATGTCTATGTATGTAAATTAGTCGTATCTAGTATATTGAGTCGAGATTGAATGATAAATTTCATTCTCTGAAAATAATGCATCCATACATACTAAAGTTGAATAGTTGATGCTTTTGATAGATCAGTGTCCCCTTAAGTACAGACGATCTTGTAGTGAAGTTACATCTCTTAATTTAGCGATAACTAGCTTTCTTACCAAAACAGTGCTTTCTAATCGCTGTGATCCACCTACATCGATTGATGCAGTATTACATGTTGTAGGTATCTTGATTTCATTAACTTGATGACGTATGACTTAGCTGGCCAATGGGATGGCAAAACGGGAATCCATGGAGCTCTCCATGGTGGACCTGGTGATACAACTGGGCTGAATCAGGTATTTCCGATGAGTAGTAAGCACAAATATAAATTCGCTAATATCAGAAATGAATAACCATGCATAAAATTGACCTGAATCTCATGCCATACCATTAACTTTGTAGTTACAACTGTACATTCTGCTACAGAGCTCTCGTAAAACTTGGTTTAAAAAATCGAAATATGATTTATAGGGTTTGGAACTGTTTAATTCTCGAAATCGTTGTTCCCTCTTCAAAAGAGGAGACGCGAAAATCTTTCCTTATAAGGTCAAAATTATTTCCCATGATGCAGTTCGCGGAGGAACAAATTTATACTTCCTTGTTTTCCCTCATAGGTTTAACATGGGGATTTTCACACCTATTTTTTAAACGATATATTCGTTCATATTCCCGTACGAGAGTACAGAAAAAATTATTAGAAACGATTGATCTCTTATTAATCTTAATATAACAGCTATTTTTTTATTGTATTGATTCATAGCGTGGTATAAAACGACGATTGAAAAGTGAGAAAATATTCCGGAAGAGAAGGTCACGTGATCAGTTGACAAGTCGCCATATTGGAAAAAACAATTCCATTCGACTTTCAATACTTTCATGCCAATCTTACCGCATTTACAAACTGCAACATCGACGCAACAACTGAATAAAAGTATTCATCTTCAAATCATATTATAGAGTTACGTTAAAAACCCACAGACAACTGAGCAGTTGACCAAAGAAGACGCGTCGCTATTATCTAGGTCAATCTGTTCTGTGGTCCGAAAGCAAATCTATAGTACTCGTTTCCGAATTTTGTTGTTAATTGTACAATCTTTTATTGATTAAACTCGGTATACTGACTATTAAAGCAATGACAAAGAAGAATACTTCCGATGGTGTCATTGTTTTATTTAGCGTGCGGGTGTAAAAACAAAATTGCGTAATTAGTTTAATTTAGAACTTTCGGGTCACGCAAATAGCTACGCGAAATGCATAGTGGGAAAATATTGACCAATCAAATTTTGTCCTTTTTGAGTGCTTTTTTAGAACATAATTGCGAACGTTCTGATTCAAAGAGCGAACCGCGAAAGGGAGAATTGGAATGTTTCTATTGTTTACTCACTTCGAGAGCCATGTTAGATTTTGAAACTTATGGCTTTCGAATGTGTAAATGGACAGCTGAATAATAGTGACCTTTGGAACACGAATTAAGTCGATCAGCGGCTTACTTTTGTTCTCTAACTATGTCATACATCATTATCATCCTTCCGTGCAAGTATTGGAGCGCTGAAGAACTTCCTTTTCGATCAAGACTTGTAATTGTTTGTCGAGTGAATGTTTTTTCTGCCAAATTCCAATATGGCGTTTTCTGATCGGACATTTTCGTAAATCTCCGGAGGTTGTCCGAACCTAACTCATTCTCAAAATTCATTTCGTTCGTTGCGTATCTCGCTCCTAGCAAACCGCCATATTGGAAATGAGTCGAAAAAAACATTCACTCGATGAACAATTTACAAGTCTTGATCAAAAAAGAAGTATTTCAGCGCTCCAATACTTGCACGGATTGATGATACTGATGGAAGACACAGTTAGAGACCAAAAGTAAGCCGCTGATCGACTTAATTCGTGTTTCAAGGGTCACTATTATTCAGCCGCCTACGGTGCGCCGTGGGAAAGCTATTATAGTCCATGGTATGACTTCCGAATATGAAGGATCCGTAGCACACTATAGCGCAGCAATATTTATGAAGGTGTACATGTCTCGATTCTTTTAAAATACCATTTGCTGAAAAAACTTCCGGCTTTCGGGTCGAAAAACGTCTTTCATCACAAGGGCTCAAAAAACGTAAATATTTTGATTCGAACTTTTATACATTTTATAAGACACAGACCGTTATTCTAAGCATACGAACAAAAATAAATTATCATAATTTAAAAATATACTATTTAATTTTATCGTAGATGTCGGTGTTTAGTTAGTGTAATTATGCAAAAGTGTTTTTCAGATTTTGTTTGATTTTTCAAATATGAGCCAAGCCGATTCAACAAAATTATGTGGAATATTTAGGTAATTTATGATTGGGAAGATATTAGTTTTCTTACCATTTAAAACATTTTATTTCGAGAATTTTTCTATATAATCGCAAGGAGTCTAATATCAAATTATTGTTCATGTTTTACAAAACATAATACAATAACAAATAGGTAAGATTTATATCTAATTAAATGTTACAGAGGTATTGGAATGTTCATATACTCCAAGGGCATGTCTAATAATCGATTAGAGTCATATGCAATCGAACGCCTTGAAATTCTTCCTCGACGTTACTTGTGGCTATCATCAAGTTTTCTGATGGCTGTTTGTTCTTTGACCTTACCGCTGGATACAATCAAATTTTAGGAAGATAATGATAACGATTTTTCTCAATTATTCATTTATTCGATCAAGACTTGATGGTTGTTTTATAAGCAACCGGGCTATATCTGTTGTATGGGGTTTTCTTCTTAGATTCAGCCCCACCCTGAATGAAATTATATTTGCCCCGGGGATCGTGGTGCAATCGGTTACTCACAACAGACCATTATGTTCCCCAATATTCTAACTTGTATTCCATGATTCCCAAATAATTGTAACGGACTTGTTAATTATAATTAAAACAAATATTTTTATTCCAAGCTTTACAGTTCTCTAATTAATGCAATAAGTACATTTATCTCAACTGATCAAATGCTTTACCAGTTGTATGTCTCTTCATAAATATTTCCTAATATTGAACATCAATCATATCAAATCTTAAATTCTTAACTTTCAATTCTAGATTCTCGACTTCTTAAACTTCTCAAACTTCTCAAACTCCTCAAACTCGCTTGGCCTGTGATAATTATATAAAATGATATCGATGTGAGGTTGGTAAAGTATATTTTAAATTTTACAAACATATATGTTTCATGTAAAATGCAGATCCTTGTTGAATGATTTAATTCCTATAATATATCCGCGCTTGTTAAATAAAAGATTTTCTCATACAAATAATGAATAATAAATATGAATTGAAAATGCTTCGTTAATCGTTCTATCTCTCTCAAATTGCCTTATTCCGAGAGCCGCAAAAATTACCCGTATCAAATTTGTTTCCCCTTTCTCCCTCTTTCCATGTTTCCAATCCATTCACAGATCCCCTCAAGATTCCCCATTTCAAGTCCGTTCCCAGTTCCGAGTTTGTTTCGAGTTCCCCGTTGGTTCCGCGCTTTCGATCCGTTCCCAGTTCTCCCTGAATCAAGTCTAAACTGCCATTTATATACCCGTAAGAGATGCTATTCTTAGCTACGGGCCGCGTGACGTAATTTACGTATGAAAGTAGAATTGATACAAGAATGAATCATAATCGGAAATGATTCCATTTATGGTATTGACCGGAAATTATGCCTAATAAGGAAGATGAGTAATAGTTCTTCTATATGTGAGATCGGCGGTAATTTTTGAATCAAAGAAAGTGTACACTGTTTGAATTTTGAGTTACAACATAACTTCCCGTCCCATTTATTTTTGCCCTCAAAAATTGTGTACTGTCTTGTAATAATGCGTGTAAATAAATCTGTAAGTTGGAGAGATCCCTGACAAGTAATACATCTGCTGATATCTGTAATATCAGTTGATTATAACAGTGTACTTGCCTGCCAAGGTCATTTACAAAATTTGGTTACTAATTAAACGAATTAAATAATAAAAAATCATCTCTTAAAAAGTATCACTTTTCTCCAATTCAAAAACAAAGATGTGCTATGTTTGGGGATTCTGTATGTCTAAAAAATGTGTTCCATACTAGGGTAACTTAAATGAAACTCACTATCCAATTATCTCTAAGATTTGCCTGATGACACATAAAGTATCATTTGATTATAGCGGCAAACTCCGAGAGAACACTGGAAAATAGTGTATGACAAGTCTGCTGCCACCTATAGTGCCAGTTGAATATAGCGACGAGCCCATACACTAAGTATGAGAAAAATATAAAATAGTGAATAATACATCTGCTGATCTATATATACACTGATATACAAGATCAGTTGATTATGACGATGTAAAAGTCACCTGACTGTTGAAAAAATAAATCATTTCTTGGAGGGATTGGAGAATGGACAGTGATGAAACTATATGTACGTATGTACATAAAAAATGAACTTTTAAAATATACGAAAAAATAGTTATGTTGTTTTCTCAAACTTTACGATTTTATATATATGGCATCAATAACATTGAAATGAAGTGAATTCTGAACGCGAGAATAATTCGGAAAAATAAAACATTTCGATTAAAAAGAAAATACGTGTTAACCTTCAATCAGGATCTGCATTTGTGTTTGCACCAATTACGTGAAATATATTTATCATATTATTTATTCTATGTCCATCATTAGCTATACAGCAGGAGATCCAAGACGTCATTTCCATTGTTCTCTGCATATTTCGCGTAGTAATCTACGGTGATTAGCCCGCGCGATTTTCGCATGAATGAACGTCATGGTTGATGCACCCATTTTTACACGACGGTATCTCCCTCGTCTTTTATCGGTTTCCCACAAAATAAACGGTTTTGAAAAGCTTATATCAAGTAGTTTCAGACGGTCTTTCTCATTTTTTAATTTCATTCAAGGTCTGGTCTCAATAATCAAAATCGCAATTGTGATATTTTTATAGAAAACGCAAAAATGTGTACTGTTTTCAAGCCTTACGGATAAATCGTTAACGGCGGCCTTCACAAACAATTAGTTCAGCACTATTAAGCTCAAATCTAGACGATTTCAATGGTGTTATTCTTTTTTACCAACCCTGGGGGAGATAGGTTTCTGCCAATTTTTAGTGCGACCAAGTGTTTTTTAGAGCCATTTATTTCATCATTTAACGTCACATATTCCGGATTGTCGCGTGACTGAACTTTATTGGACGGATGTACCCATCTTTACACGATGATATCGCGCTCGTCTTTTATCGGTTTCCCACAAGGTAAACAGTTTTGAAAAACGTATATCAAGTA